GCGGTGCTCCCTGCAGCTCACTGCAGCATCTCTAGGTCCTAGAATATGCCTAGGGCATGGCAGGCATTCAATGAACACGTGAATAGATGAATGCATAAAAGAATAAGTCACTTGTCCAACCCAGCTCCTGACTTCAGTCCCTAATACCCTTCCTTTTAGGGAACAGAAAGAGTATCTCACCTGGGTAAAAGTAACAACACTTGGTCATAATGCCAGGCAGCTCCAGGCACCAGCAACTGGGCTCAGAGGCCCAGGGCCTTGAAAGTGCCCCTTCAGAGATACAAGGGCCCTCGTGAAGTAAATAGATGAGTTTACATGCCAGTGTCAGAAGCCAAGCACATCCAGCCTGGCCAAGAAAGGCATCCACCCTAGGGAGGTGGGGGACCAGATTTCTTTGACACTGTCCAGACTAGTTGAGTAAAACTTCAAATCCCTCCCTTAAAGATTAGTGGAACTGAGCCAGAGCCTGCCTTGGAAGTGTCCTCAGAGTGGCCCTGTGGGCAGAGCCTTGCAGCCAAGAAACTGAGTGACCTGAGCCTTTGAGGGCAAAGTTGGCCTCTTAGCAGCCCAAACGGCTCTCCTCCATGGATAAACACACCTGCCATGTTCATTGCCATCCTGAAACCAAAGTCCAGTCCTTCCTCTAACCTTATACCCATCACTCAGCTGGGCCAGCACAAAACTTTCAAGAGCAACCTCTGTTGCATGGGAACCTAAGTTAGAGTAAGGTTCCTAAGTAAAGTTCTCTCACAGGTCCACAGCTTGGACACGTGCAGGAAATGGGTGCAAGCAGTTGTCAATACAGTCTGTTCTTTATAGCTGAGGGCACCCTGACCCTCAGCCAACAATGCCCAGCACCTACAGCAGAAAAGTACCATGAGTTTTCAAGGAAGAGCCCCCAAAGCCTAGCTGCGGAGCATGGGTGATATTTTCCAAATATTACCCCCAGGTAATATTTCCTCTGAGAGTACCCAGCACAGCCCCAGAGAGCTCCATGTCACCACAAGTGCAAGGCCTGCCAGTTCATGAAAGGCCAGCCCCTTCAACCAACCCCTGTGTTTGAGGTTTGAGCAGCTTCCACGGCAAAGAAGAGAGGAAACAATGAGCTTTATAAAGAACCGTATTTATTTCCATGTACAGCATCAAATACCATAAATAAAGCTAAACATTGTTCGCTGTGTGCAAAATACAGGGTTCCACGTGGCACTGTAATGACTACCAAAGGTCACAAACATGCATGGTGACAGGTGGGGGAGGCTAGCTAAGGAGGAGGCTGGGGGGAGGAGGGCACTCTTTGGTTGACATTCTATAAAGGGGGGAGACTCTGCAAGAGAAGATAAGATAAGAACAGTGACTTCATCCTGGCGGGGATCTGCACCAACGAGGGAGCAAAATGCAGCATGCAGGGCTGTGCAGAGAGGTCAGCATGGCTCTGGGCCACATGCAGGACACCATCACCTGCAGCCCGGGACTGCAAGGCCTGCCTTCAACAGCCCCACTGGACTAGGTGTGGTGTTTCTCTTTAAAAGCATTGTGAGTGTCCTGCTGCTCCAGGCAGAGTCAGCAGGGGGACGTGTTCTGAGCAGAGCTGTGGGGGCACTGAAAGGGAGCTGCTCTCTAAGGCACTCCTGGCCTGTGACAGTGACTGCTCTAGCTGAAGCTTCTGTATCCTCTGGGGCTTTATGAGCCTAGAGACCAGAAGAGTCAAAGCAAAACCCTGGGAGGGAAGGTATAGGCTGCTGGGGAGGAAAGATTCACTAGAAAAATTGTGATCGTGTGTTCAAAATAGAGAGTCTGGGCCAAGCTTGTGATGAAGCCTGGGAGAAATTTTTTTTTAAAAAATCCTTCCAAAAAGAGTCACCTATGGTGCAGATTGATAACCTTTGATGCTTGTATGCATATGCTTTTTCAGAGGCTGAGAGATGAAAGAGTTCTTTTCAAAGGTGAAGGGCCCTCTCTGTGGCACAGTCTCATATTCCAGGTTAACCCTCCCAGGAAGGTAAGTAGCTTTGTAAGTGCAACCAGAAAAGCATGCACGCAGGCCGTGGAGTGTAGCGAGGAGGCGGGCCATGCACCTGGAGTGGGCTGGGCAGCCTGCTCAGAGGGATGGAATCAGAAACGCTTTCGAGCTGAATACCACCCCACATTGTTCACCAACCATGCCACCGAATGAATGAGTCCATTAGTAGGCAAGACGCTCGCAGTTAGCACAACCAAGGCCACGGCGGGGGGCGGGGGGGGGCGGGCGAGACGGGGCGCAGAAAGCAGGTCAGGGGTTAGTACCACTCTCTGAAAATTGGCAAGAAAACCAGTCACCTCAGAGCAGAAGTGTGTCAGCCAAGAAGTGGGTGCAGCACTGGAAGGCTGAAATGAACTGATGGCCACAGTGTAAGGTTTGGAGAGAGAGAGAGACAGAAGAGAGAATTTAGTTGGGGGAACAAGGAAAATGCTGGACAATACGAAAAGGTACGGGAGTTGAAAACGAGGCAACCATTAAAAAAAGAGCAACTCCCCCAAACAAGTTATGGCTTGCTTAGGACAGATGAACCTTTCTGGAAGTGAGCAGTGACTTATCTGCAACAGTGGATCCCTGCAATTGGAAATAATCCCCTGTCTCCACTGCCCCCCACATCCTCTCTGCCCCGATTTTACTCTGTAGTGTTCCATATTCATTCTCAAATAGGTTATGGAGGTTTAGAAACATCCCACTCCCAGGACTTACTTTTGTGTTTTGCTGCTGCCCCTCCAGGAAGGTTCAACGTCTCAGAACATACAAACATCTCAGGCTTCTGACAGGCACGCCCTGTCTCACCAGAGTAATTCAAACCAGTCTCCTTATGGCCATAAGTGACATTCTCAGAGATCCTAACTCCAGCTTCATGGAGCATCCCACAAAGCATCTCATCCTGCCCTGAGCTGACGGGAATAACAATGACACAGCTGTGATGTGTTTACATCGTGACTTTCAGAATCAAACATGAAACGAATCAAGGGCTCCTCCCACCAGAGAACACTAAAATACCAGCAAAAATTTGGAAAAACACAATGCAAGTCATAGGACAAGAACAGTTCCAACAGAGACAGAGGCGCCAGTTCCCACGGACTTGGCTGCAGTCAGGCCCCTGATTTACCCAAGGACTCAGGGAAGTGTTTATATTATAGAAATGCCTCCCTGCTTCTTCCCAGCCTGGAGAACTTGGCATCTCAAAGCCCTTAAGGGTTCTGGCTCCTAACCCACCAGACTCCATCTTTTCTTAATCTAGAGGATCTTTCTAGTGTAACAGGCAAGGCCCAGCAACTCTAGATACACTGAACTCTGCGGAAGGTTTTTCTTTATCAGCCATCTCCACTGTTCAGCCAGACTCAGCAGCTGTGCATGTCCAGGCAGAGTGGAGCTGGGAAGGCTGAGGCTTCCTCCAGATGCCCAGAATGAAGAATATAGGTGGGCCCAAGGCCTGTTTTGCCCTTAATAAGGTATATTTCTTATGCATAAGTCAATAACAGTGTCCACTCCCAGCCTCCTCTGCTAGTCAAGACATGGGAGCTTCCCCCTGGATCAGATGCATTCCTTGGCTGGGACAATTCAATAATCAATCGTTTCTGACTGTTTGACCAAATATGCATGGCAGCCAATTGGCTAAGAAGCCAGAATGCCTGCAGGCCACGCTCACGGGGAAGATCACGCTTTCCAGAAATAATACTGTCAGGTGCAACAAACACCCTCCGTCCCAGAGGACACAGCATGAGAGGGCAGTTTCCTCCCTCAGCCTGACTGCTGTGGACCCTGAATGGCCGTGGCTCAGACTGCAACCTGGATTGGGGACCTCAAAAGGAGGGCTTAAAATGCCACCAGCTGACACGACTCCTCTTCAGGATTGCATCAGTTTGATAGAGTTCTGAGTGGTCAGGGGCCAACAGGCTTTGGCTGCCATGCTCATTAGTGGGAAGGGAAAATGTATGTCTGCAGTAATTCACTTGAAACCCTGTGGTTCTACATAATCTGGCTGCAGTTTGGTATTGGGGTCAGGGGAATCTTGAAGCTACTATTTTACATCAGAACAAGGGAGCAAAATAGTCCTTCTCCCTGGGAGGACAGGTAACAGGCAACTATATATTGCCATATCCTTCTGTAGATTTAATTCTCTTTCATCCTTTCTGTTTTGTTTTGTTTTTTCTTCTAAATTACTATGCTTTCATGTTGCAAACAATTGTCCCTTGTTGACAAGTGGTATACAGGCACAAAAATCAGAAGGCACTGTCAGGAGATCGCACGCTCGCTTTGGTTTACTTAAGAGTTCAAATTATTCACGTTACAGGGAGCGGCTATTTCAAGACCACAACGTGGAAGGGGTTTTTGTAATACCAGTTATAAACCTCAAACCCGTGTTTACAAAAACTGACACTCATAGGAAAAAAAAATGCTTTCTCTTGGCTTATTAAACGTTAAAAATTGAAATGTAAACCTAGAAGTATGGCTCGCTTTGGTATAAAAGTACAAAGCTATTAAAAAAAAAAAAATCCTTCATGTCATGGTGGCCTGAAGCGGATGTTCACCGCGACCAGGCTAGGTGCAGGTGGCCGATGGGAAATTCTTTGGCTTTGAGCTAACTGGTTCAAGGGCGTGGGGCTCCCTGGCCAGCGCCTGAGCCGGCCGCACACGCCGCCATCTACGCGGGAAATGTTACGGTACTGTGGGACTGGGCTTCAGTGCAGCTTGGCCGGGACGCATCTGAGTAGCCAGTCGCGGATGCTTTGGAGGGCCTCCTCCGACTCCCGGTACATGGAAGCCAGGACCTCGGAGAACACCCAGAGCAGGGGCAGCCCGAGGCTCAGGAGCTCGTAGGTGTAGCAGTAGTTGTAAGCATTGTCCCTGATATGCAGGCTGGTGGCGCGCAGGAGTCCCTGAATCCAGTTAAGCAGCCTCCGCGGAAGGTGAAGCAGGCCCCACGGCAGCCTGAGGGGCCAGCTTAGTGCCTTCCTAAGGAAGGAATTGGGGATACCTGGGGGGCTGCCTTCCGGTGTGGCGATGGCGGCGGCGGCGCAAGAACTTTCCGCGGGAGGGTCTAGCCGAGGGGCTTCCTGCTCTTTCCACATCCCCTCCTCCTGAGAAAGAGATCAAGGTGAGGGCAATCAGTCCATGATGCTCAGAGAGGGCTCCTCCAGTGAAGCAGAGCGAGACTCAATAAAGGGAGGACCTGGCAAACCCTACAATTTGCAACCAGGACCCTTCCCCAAAATCTCAGCAACCCCTGTGCACTGCTGAAGGGGGCTGAACACGGGTGTGACTTTCCTGCGGTGGGGGTGGGAACTGATCACAGCATCACTTTCCTCTGGAGCCTTCAAAACATACATGCCCTTTGACTCCGTAATCTCATTCTTTTGATTGATCCTAAGTAACAATTTAAAATATGGATAATGATATAGGTACAAAGACATTCCCTGTAAAATGTTTATAAGGCAAAAATAGTAATGTCCAACAATATAGGATGCAAATAAATTATCAGTCATCTTTTACAGGTATCAAAAATTAGGCTCCAAAAGAATTCTTAATGGGAAACTGTTCTTAATATACTGTTATTGAAAAAAGAAGGCTATGAAACTGCACAGGTAGGATTCCAACTGGGTTAAAACATACAGCTGACCCTTGAACAATGTGGGTTTGAACCGTATGGGTCCACTTGAATGCAGATTTTTCAGTAATGAATATAATCCATGGATGGCTGAATCTATGGATATGGAGGAACCATCAATATGAAAGATTGGCTATAAATTATACAGGAAGTTTTGAACCTGCAGACAGTCAAAGGCTCTAACTCCCATACTGTTCAAAGGTCAACAGTATTCATACAGGAAAAAGTCTACAAGGAAATGTTCCAAAGTGTTAATTATGATTTTCTCAGGATACAGTGATGATGGGTTATTTCACTTTCCTTCTTTATAGACTTTCATTTACTTATCCATTTTTCTATTGTGTGTGTGTGTATCTGTGTGTGCCCAGTTAATCAGCTGTGTACAACTCTTTGCGACCCCATGGTCTGTAGCCTGCCAGGCTTCTCTGTCTATGGGACATTCCAGGCAAGAATATGGGAGTGGGTTGCCATTTCCTCCTCCAGGGGATCTTTCTAACCTAGGGATCGAACCTGCGTCTCCTGCAATGACAGGCGGATTCTTTACCACTTAAGCCACCTGGGAAGCCCATATTACTTGTGAAATCAGAAAAAAGCTGAAGTTGTTGGTCTTGCTGGAGGTGGATGATTAATCAAGCCAAAAAGAAGATGCTGGCTAAGAGCTACCATGGGTGGGGGTAGGGAGGGTGCTATCACAAGCCATCTGCAAATTAAACAGGCCAGTCATGTTGTTGACATCCAAGAGCTTGGGGAAAGGACTTGGAAACCACAGAGGGTTGGCCCTATACCAGGCATCCCTGATCACAGGGCTCTGTGGCCATGTGGGCCCCAGGCCCTGGGGGCTACGTGGCTTTTGCATGGCTAAGCATTTAGCCCCATCCTTGGCACATGGGAAAGCTCTTCTGGGCTTCTCATGAGAAGCAGCAGTCATTGCCCTGGGAGCTGACATCTGGAACAGCTCACACCCCAGAGGCCAGATGAATGGACTGAGACACAGGGACCTTTCTGCCAGGGAGCAGAGTCCTCTTCCCGAGTCTCAAGCCCACCCAAAGCTAGAAACATTGGCCTAGCCTGCAGGACCTCTTGACAACCTCCTCCTACCAGGGAACTTTCCCATTCCACCACCACTTTCGAGATAAAACTTACCTCTCTTTGTTGCTTCAACTCTGCCCGTCTCTTCCGTTGCTGGCTGTTGGTCTTACAGTGAATGAAATGAGACTTGCAGAAAAACTTGCCTGTAAAAAGAAACACACAGACGCTCAGAGGTTTTTCTCCTGTAAACCAGAGCCACAGCAGAACCTGAGCCGAGTGCCTGCCCCCATCTAAGTCAGAGAAACACCGCTAGGGGAAACAAGCCTAGGTGCAAACATGGGAAACGCTTTCCGCCACCTTCCTTAAAGAAGAGGCACTGAGAGGAGGCCACCAGCCGCAACAACAGTGGCGGGGGACCGGAGAGAATGCTCCCGGGAATGGGGCAGAAACCCTCAGATAATCCCTGAGGCCAAGTCTCTTCCCAAGGCCAGTTGCCAGGCAGCAAAATGGACAGCCTGGAATAGCAACTCTGTTTGTAGTTCCTCTTGCTTCTGGGACCCCTGGGGGTGGGAACAGCACTGAGCAGATGGTGGCAGAAAAATCCAGTGAGCCACACACTGGGCCACTGGCCACTGCCCAGGATACTGGATGCCTTCCAGAAAACCCTTTTTTGCTCACTCTATCAACAGAGACAATAGTGATGGGAATAATGATATAATAGTGAAGTCTTGAGTAGGACTCAATATACCGGGCGCTATCTTAAATCCTTCCCCTGAGTTAAATCAGTGATCACTTTATGAGCAAAGTACTATTATCCTCATTTTATAAATAAGAAAACTGAAATTAAAAGATGCTTACTCCCTGGAAGGAAAGTTATGACCAACTTAGACAGCATATTAAAAAGCAGAGACTACTTTGTCCACAAAGATCCGTCTAGTCAAGGCTATGGTTTTCCCAGTACTCATGTATGGATGTGAGAGTTGGACTATAAAGAAAGCTGAGCTCAGAAGAACTGATGCTTTTGAACTGTGGTGTTGGAGAAGACTCTTGAGAGTCCCTTGGACTGCAAGGAGATCCAGCCAGTCCATCCTAAGGAGATCAGTCCTGGGTGTTCATTGGAAGGACTGATGTTGAAGCTGAAACTCCAATACTTTGGCCACCTGATGCGAAGAGGTGACTCATTTGAAAAGACCCTGATGCTGGGAAAGATTGAGGGCAGGAGGTGAAGGGGACGACAGAGGATGAGATGGCTGGATGGCATCACTGACTCAATGGACATGGGTTTGGGTGAACTCTGGGAGCTGATGATGGACAGGGAGGCCTGGCGTGCTGCGGTTCATGGGGTCGCAAAGAGTCGGACACAACTGAGCAACTGGACTGACTGAACTGAGGGACCCAGAGGTCAGGTAAGAGGTTATATGTATGTGGTATACATATGCCATATGCTGGAAGTGGCATACTCTGGATGTAAGCACAGGCAGTTAGTTTTAGAGTGTGGAATCACAAGCTTCGTCATTATATGATGGTGCAAACATCAAGTGCTGAAGGTTAGAAATTAATCACTTATTCCAATGAGTGCAATTCCTTCATTGATGACTCTGGTAGGACACTCAGCAGAGGGCATATTACAGTTATGGTCATTCTTACAATACACACTTCATTGATAATAACATGAATATGATGTCATTTATTGAACCCCCCCGGTGCCCCCCCCCCCCCCCCGCTTTTCACTGGAAAAGACCCTGATGCTGGGAAAGATGGAGGGCAGGAGAAGGGGGCAACAGAGGATGAGATGGTTGGATGGCGTCACTGACTCAATGGACATGAGTTTGAGCAAACTCTGGGAGATGGTGAAGGACAGGGAAGCCTGGTGTGCTGCAGTCCATGGGGTCGCGAAGAGTTGGACATGACTTAGCAATCAAATAACAACAAATTGAACCCTTATTACATGTCAGGTGTGGTGCCAAGTATGTGACATAAGTTGTCAGGTTTGATTTTCTCGACCACACAGGGGCAACTGAAGGCGGTGAGACTGAGTAAGAAAATGTCCATAAAGCACGTGGCACCTGGGAGGTGCTCCCTACACATGTGCACCTCCCATGCTGACCGCTCCCCTTTCCTCAGGCCCCTGCCCACCAAAGGCAGCCTCTCCCCTTAGCAGGGGATCCCTGCTCCCTGAACTGCTTTCCTGATGACACCAATACTCCCCGGGAAGTGCTGGCTGTCCCAGAGCCTCCAGAGTCAAGAGGCCCAGGCCAGACACAAGAGCTGCCCTGGCCCCTGGGGGTTACCTTCGTCAACATCAAAGGCATAGGCGGCCAGGCGCAAGGTGGTGGCACAGATGCTGCAGCGGAAACACTCCCGGTGGAAGAAGTGGCCCTCTGCGCTCAGCCGCTCCATGACATACACGCGCTTCTTGCAGAAGTAACAGGTGTCGCTGCCACCCACGTTCAGGGGAAACGTCTTCCGTACGGACTCCTGGCAGGCACACGGCATCGGAAAAGAAGAGCAGCGTGTTAGGGTGTACACCGCATCTTCAAATGCAAGGCTGGGCGTGTAGAGATGCCAGCCTGCCTTGTGGGGCCTCACAGGCTACGTGCTGCTTTTGTCACTGGGGGTGCTGCTGCAAAGAGTGAGGGTGGGAAGGTACGCAGAGCCCAGCCCTGCCAGGGCAGTGTTGACTGTACTCCCTGGCAGGCTGCTGGACACTGGTTTCATGGTGGGAGTGACATTTCCTGGTCTGACAGAGCAGGTGTCCCTCACAAACATGCCTGCCCAGAGATGCCATCTCCAGGAATCTGAGTCAGGGGTTAAGTGTTGCCTGGGTCTAGAGTGAGGTCACTGAAAGAATGTCTTATCCATCCTTGTCCCCTTGCAGTGACACAGGTCAGGCAGGGAAGGCTCATGGCATCAAAACTGTTCTGGAGAACTGCAGGAAACGGGCATGAGGCTGCCAATCAACTTCTTCAATGCAAAAGGGGAGGGCGAGGCCCAGGGCAGGAGGGGCACCCCTGGGTGATTCCAGGGGAGTGTGCCAAAAGGACACCAAAAGAACTCTCAACTCAAACTGTTGGTGGTGACAGTGAGCAGAGTTATCCGGAGAAGGAGAGGATTCAGAGGAAAGGGATGTTTTCCCCATTACTTCTTAATCCAATCTATACTGGATGCTAAACATTGGTAGTAACGGTGTCCATCTCTGTAGATGGCCTCCCCTGAGCTTTCCCCTGAGTTCTCCAGAGCCCCAGCTACAAGGGAAGATGCTCTGCTTTCTGAAATGACCCACAAGGGGGCCAGCTGAGGTTCGTCTACAAGGAAACACAGCCCCCCACTAACCTCTGCTCTGACTCGGCCTGTTCTCAGCCCCTCTTGTCCCATGAGAAGGGGGCCAGGCTATCATCTCCGCATCCCAGGCACCCTCCCTGGGAGGCCAGAGCCGGTGTCTGTGGGTGAAGGCGGAAGGGTGCGCATCCTTACCAAGTCTGGAGAGGTGGCCTGAGTCTTAGGTCTGTGATCATTCAAGTACAGATTGACCAGAACTTCAGCTGCAGCCCCTATTCCGCTGGATACTTTCCCTACTGTCAGCTACCCAAGAGCAGAGATAAAGGAGACAGAGACAAAGGGAGAGGCCGTTAGCACCAAGGAGAACACGAACAAGCTGGAGGTGAGAGAGGGCTCCAGCTCCACGCCCACATGCAAACAGCAGCCAACGTCCCAGGAGAGGCCTCACTAGCCTACAGTCGGCAGCAGGCACTCTGCAGATGGACAAAAGAGAGATCAGCAGGGCGACTCACAACTACATCCACTGGGTGTACACGGTCTTCTGGAGTTCTGCTTACTCAGCTCACAGATAGGGAGAATCAATCCTGGAGGAAGGGATCTATCCAAGGCCACTTAGAAATCAGTGCAAGATCCAGGACTCTGCTAAGGTCTCCTGAACCCCAGCTGGGGGACCTTCACACTAAGAAAACAAGTCCGCTACACTGAAGCTGACCTTCCCAAGACGACTCCTCGCTAGAGGGCCTGGAGTGGCTACATAGCGAGACCTGTTCTCCATTTCCCCAGATCAGGAGGGTTAGGACCGCGCTCTGCCACTAACGGTTCTAAGATGGGACACAAAGCCCTCAACTTCTGAGCCCAGTGTCCGCATTTAGTGAAATGGGAATAAACGGTGCCTACCTCGTGGAGCTGTGGCAAGAAAGCATGTGTGTGACTGTCGGGCACTTGGCAGGGCTGGGCCAAGGTGAACTTGACTCCTCCTCCCTTCTCCCTCTGAATTTGGCAGCCCCAGCCTCCCTTGCAGCCCCTGCGTCCCCTAGGGAGCTGTGGCTATGCCTGACTTCAGTTCTGTTAGGTCAGGATGCTGACTACCTTGCCAGTAAATAGTGGCCGAAATGGGAACGGACGGTGGTCCCCACTGGGCAGGGAGCAGGACAGGGAGCTCCAGGTGGCAGTGCCCAGGGCCCCAGAGCTGGTGCTGGGCAAGTCAGTTCCTCGTTGGCCTGGAGACCACAGCCGGATGGGTTGTGGGTGCCTGTGCTCCCGAAGGTATGATGGCCCGTGCCTACCCGTGAATGCCTGGATCCCCACTGGTGTGTCATGGAGCTGGGAAGGGGTGAGAGCTGACAATCCAAGCAGATGTGGTACAATCACACATACACCCCCAGGCAAATCCCAGCTTATTCTTTCCCCACCAGCTCTGAAAGGCCAGCCCGGGAATATTGCAGTCTCCTCTGCAGGGAGGCAAACATGCACAATATGAGACTATATCTGCAAACACGGCTCCTGATCCTAAGACCCTGGAGGGAGGGAGGCTCCAGATGCTCCCCAGCCTCTGAATCCAGCTTCTGGGAGATGTGGCCACAGACAGCAGCAGTGTAGGCTGCTGGCCCTCAGTCACAGGTTGATAGCCATCTTCACAGCAAGTAACAGTGACTTGCAAGGGGACAAAGGAAAGCCCTCAATCTAAACCCAGGACTGCTCTTGGAAGGCCACACTGAATTCACTGTGAAAGCCTCAAAGATAAAGCAGGAAGCTCAGGGACAGCAAAGCAGGTGGCAGCAAGTGCCCACAGGTCCTGCCTCCTGGAAGCAGGGCCCACCCTCAGAACCTGAGGCCAACTCATTGGGCACCAACAAACGCACAGGTACAAAAAGAGGATGAAGAGGGAAGGGCTGCCAAGCAGGCTGGAGCGAAAGACATGACCAGGGGATACCTGCTCACTTCTCATTAAGGAAGCCCCAACACCAGCAGCTACTTTGGATCAGTCATGCCAGACCATGTGTGGGGCTCTCTGGGGAACTATGGAAGATGTGGCCAGGGACCTTCTGGGGTGTCTGATCCCAGACAGATGGGACCCCCTCAGACTTCACAAAGCTCGCTCCTTTTCAGTCGCAGCAGCTGCCAGGCCGCTTACCCCTCCCTACTCTCAAAACTGGCCCCGTCTGGAAGAGATTAGGATTCTGCTTCTGAGCATACACGCTGCCATTTTCAGGATTTCACAAACGCCAAGAAACTTGGCTCCTGCTCCTAAGAGAAGTTCAGGTGCACTGGCTCTGGACAATAAGCCATTATTTGCCTGATGTTCCACCCCCTACTGGGGCCTCCAACACAGGCCTCCTCGGATAGGAGCTGAGAATACCAAGTACTTCCTGGCTTTACAGCAAAATAAAGACAGAGGATCTCAGATTTACCTCACTGTCCATACTCCCCTTGCGTGACTGTCTCTCCTGATCCCGTGTGTGAACTGGCTCTGAGGAGCTCTCCCAGGAAGGCACTGTGTGATGCCAGATACCCACGCGCAATTACTGCCTCCCTTGAGTGAGCAGAGAGGGAGACTCTACTTTCTGGGGCTTTAAATACAAGTCCCTAATGAGACCTTATTAACTACTTAGCTAATAAGCACTTTGTGCCCCTGAGCTTCCGTGCAATCCTGACTTAGGAGCAATTATAGAAGCAAGCAGAGAGCCCTGGGGTGGCTGGTGGTACCGCCAAAACATGTCTGTGCAGTCGTGGGCCTGCTCGGCTGTTCTATCAGCACAAGGGATCCAGGATGAAGACCAAGCCCTGTCCTTCCTTTCATTGTGGGCCCTTAGTCATAAGAGACTCCGTTCTCCCAGTTGCATCCACAGGCCCACCTATGACAGCAGTTTTCCTAGGAATAATGAAATGAAGGCACCCTCAGGGAAAGCAACACTGGTGCTCCCATAGGCCCTTTCCAACTGTATCCTGGAAACCATGCCAGGAACACCGAGACGAAGAGGTGGACCAGGACTTCCTGAAAGGACACTAGGGGACCAGGTGATGGAGAACTTGTCTCAGGGGTTAGAGGAGGCCACCCCAAAGGCCAGAGTGAAGGAGGACGTTGCCCTGGAGTCTCCGGTTATCTCCCATTTCCTGATGGTAGGATGTCTTCCTGGCTCCAAGACAGTGCAGACCTGACCACCTGGACTCATGCTAACTCACTGCTCCTCAGATGGTCAGTGGTAGATGACTAGGTTTTGGTTTTTCTTTTAAATCTCGAATCCATGGTGGCTTGATATTTCCGGATACAATGAAAATGAATTACTAGAAATATGACCACACACTTGGATGTGTGGCTATGTTGAACTGCTCTACAAGTATCTAATGCTTCCTTCTCACTTGCTGTGCTCCTTGGATCACAGACTAGTTTCTGTCAATGGAACACACTTTAAGTAGCACTGTTCTAGCCAATCTGGAAATGAATGGGTCCTGGGCATCCTGAGGAAGAAAAGAAACTCCACGCATGGAGAAACCTCCAGAAAACTCATTATGGTTTGACCTCAGAGTAAGAACCTAGAAGCCAGAGGTTCTCAACAAGGAGATTACTGCACTGGAAGGCAAAAGCACTTACGCTCCTGGGGAGCTGGTCAAAAGGAAAGCTTACAATTTGGCTGGGGATACTTTTTCCAAATCCAACACTGGGCAATCAGATGACCTCATCAGAAACAAACATGTCACAGTCACTGGTTTTTTAAGAAATGGTAATTTTGGAGGGCCATGGGACTGCTTTTGCACCCTTTATGTATCTTTCAATATTTTTATCATTTTTTAAGAACTGGGATATTTTTCACTAACAGAAACTGATCTGTGATCCAAGGAACACAGTAAGTGAAAGCATTAGACACTTATAGAGCAGTTCAACATAGCCACACGTCCAAGTGTGTGATCATATTTCTAGTAATTCATTTTCATTGTATCCGGAAGAATCAGGCCACCGTGGATTAGAGATTTAAAAAGAAAAACCAAAATACTATATGGGGTATTTTTTTCCTCTTGGAAATTCTAGTTTTTTTCAGCTAATTAATTAGGACAAGCTGGAATAGCTGGACACTTCAGGTGGGCCATCATCTAACTTTACATTAGGTTAACGTCACATACATTAATTCCCTTCTGTGAGCCTCAGCTTCCTCGTCTGTAAAATGGGGAGACCACTGCCATCCTCACAGGGCTGTGAAAGAGTCATCAGAGAATCTGGGCTGCACCTCACAGGATGCTGGGTTCCCAAGAATCGCCTGGTAGATGGTTAATGAGTCCAAAGCACCACCACTGATACCGCTTCAATTTTCCATGTTCTGGAACTTCTTTTCTCCTCTCCTGGGTGGCCTTCAGACAAAGGAACTTACAGTTGCTGTGTTCCCTCCTCTGCACGAGTAAGAATAATACAGCCCACCCAGACGAATGCACTGGCTTCTCCCTCTGCTTCTCGAGTCAACTGAGATTCAAACATGATGACATTAATGGTCGGCACAAGCACCAACACCAAGCACGTCCCTGTCTGGATGTGGGAACCTTTCTTACCCTGCTCCAAGCTGGGAGATGGGTCATCTCTGCTCTGGTTGGCACTCCCTGATATCTTAACCCTGTCTTTCTCATCTCTACTCTCCTGGCACAGGACAGATGCTCTGAAGGAAGGAGGAAGCAGGCGCTTGGGTCTGTTTGCACCCAGACAACGGTAACATCCCCTGTAGGCCTGGAACTCAGCCCAGAATACCAGGTGTCCAGGCTGTACTTCTCTGCCTGACCTCCCGTGAGGGTCAGGAAACCCACGTGGGTTAGTCAGGGCTAGGGACAGAGTTTCCAGGGCCTTGGAGCTGAGAGCTTGAGGGAAGGGGAGGTTTCGACATATAGGGCCAGGGGAGGTCTCCTGGGCAAATCGGAATACACTCCTCCTTGAGGAGTCCCTGGATGAGGCAAATCAGATGACAGACTGGTGTGCCTGAGTCCTCAGCCACATGCTCAGGGCAAGGATTGAAACTGCCTTATATGAGGGGCTCAGGAAATGATGCCTTCAGAGCTGAGATGCAGGCAGGTCTTAGGGGCGCTGACCTCCCAGTGGGCACCGGTGTCCCCTGGTGCCAGGCACTGAGCTGCATTGAACCCTCACGGCCTTGCGAGCTGGGTCTGATAATCCCCCTTCACAGACGGGGCCGCTGAGGTTCAGGGAGGCCCTAACTCACCTGAGGCCGAAATGTTCCTAAGTGGCTGGGTAGGGAAATGGAAACCTGAAGGTGACTTCTTTGCTTTTAGAAAGAGAGGAATCAACATGCATCTTAGGTAAGTGAGCTTTCTTCCAGAATTCTCCTCCACTGGGGAAATAGCACAGTTATTGGATATTCGAGGGACTGGATACATGCTAGGTCTTTGCATTATTCCAATCACCCTCAGGAGTAGCTGCTGCCACCTCCATTCTGAAGATTAGGAAACTAAGGTGCTGAGAGGTCTACTAATTCATCCAAAGCCACACTGCGAGTAAGCAAGACATCTGCGTGCTGAACCCACGGGTGTAGTCCAAGCCTACATCCTGCTCACTACAGCACCTGCCTCTCTGCGAATTAAAATCCCCCAGGCTGGGATGCACACAGTTTACCTCCAAAGGATTGCCTAGCTCTATTCCCAGAGCAGAGAGAACAATGAGGTTGGAGCCAGCCTTGAACTCTACCCTTGTTATCAGATGAAACACTGGCAGATTGCCCAGCTAAGACTCACCCAGCTTCTCTCTAATATGCAAATCTCTAGAGTAAACCCTGCAAATCCAGTTTTAAAACAAACACCCCCAGGGTAGAGAAAGCTCCTTTTGCAATGTGCATTGCTCTTCTGACCCAGGAGGATTAAACTGCAGTCCACAGCCCCCGGAGGCCCTCCCTCTGGCTCAGTCCTGTAAATACGCTGCCATCTTGATCTTGCAAGAGCTCCCCAGCCTTGGAAAGCGGCTAGCAGCCGTGTTAAAGGCTAAACCGGCAGTGGCCACCTGCACTGAAGAAAGAAGTTAACTAAGGGTTGATGGGGGCTAGGGACTTCCCTGGTGGCTCAGATGGTAAAGCATCTGCCTACAATGCAGGAGACCCAGGTTCAATCCCTGGGTTGGGAAGATCTCCTGGAGAAGGAAATGGCAACCCACTCCAGTATTCTTGCCTGGAAAATCCCATAGACGGGGGAGCCTGGTAGGCTGCAGTCCATGGGGTCTCAAAGAGTAGGACATGACTGAGTGACTTCACTTTTACTTTCAATGGAGCTACAGGAGGACTGGTTTGGTGGTATGAATGATCAGACTGGGCATGATCCCATAGCCCACGGTCTTAAAAAAATAACTTAAAAGACCCCGGTAAGAATTTGGGCCCAAAATGAGAGGACCTCAAGATGTCTTGTGACTGTTCAGGCCAAAAACCTAGCTGCATCATACTGAAATTTAAGGCAACATGTCAACTGAGAGGTCAGGCAAGTGTAGTCTGAAGGCAGAACCCTAGCTATATTTCTTGGACTCGGTGACCCAAGTTTGCATCCCTGTAACATGTGTTCCTCATGACAAGTTTGACTAGGGCTGTTTCTAAGAGGAGGTGATTATCCCTGGATCCTCAGAATTAAGGTATAGGGCTCTAGAGCAGGAACAGAAACACTCGGCCTGCCAGGAGGTTACCAAGAACCAAGCATCAGTTTCCAAGAGCATTTTCCTTTCTCTGGCTCCCCTGAATTGAGGCACATACAGTCTCTGGGCATCAGAGCAGCCCCAGAATCTGCTGGGGAGAAGTGTGAAGGCCCCAGGCTCTCTCCAGGGCAGCGGCTCTCTGAGCTCCATCAGGACAGAAGGAAATTGTCACCAGGTTGTCACCTGCTTTAAGGGGCAGCAGAGTCTCTCCTCAGAGGAGGCCATAACTCTGCCAGATTCTGCATGTGCAGAGCCTGGAGTGTAATCAATGGTGGGGTCTGGGCAAGGTGGGGAAGTTGCAGGTGGGGGCAAGGGAGCAGTGCAGCTGGCAAGATCCTTTCCAAGACTGCTGGAAGCTAGAAATTCACCACACCGTGCTTAACTGCCTACAATGGCTTCATGGTGAGATGTGGAGGGGTCTGTGGGTATCAAGTCCAAGTCCACAGACAGGGTAACTGTCCCACGGTGACCTTTTTCTGAGAACTCCCCAATCACTCCCAGTCACAGTGACAGGCTCATCAGCCTGTAATTAGTAAGTCAGAAGCTATGGAAATTGCTCAATGACACCATCATCTGATGGCCAAGACTAGCTAGGGAGATGGGATAAGAAATAATAGGGAGCAATTGTTCTACCCCAACCTGGGACAAACAGAGAACAGAGCTGTAGAGGTGGGGGCCCCAGGAGTCCCTGAAGCCCACCCACCCCATTTGCAGCCCTCCTTGAGCCTGGGCTTGGGGCTCTATGCACATAGGCTCTGGGCTGTTCCCTCTGGCAAGTCCTCCATTCACACGTGGCTTCTGTGGTACACAGGAGAGAACACAGGCTAGAATCAGGAGCCTGGGAACTAGTCTCCTCCCTGTGCCTTTGTTTTCTCCTCTGAGACTCTGTTCCTGCTTCGTTCTCTTTCCCAGGAACAGCCCTCCCACCGTTATCCATTTAAGATTGCGACCTTCCCCCAGCATGCCAAGTCTTTGCTACCTGCTCTCATTTTCCCACGGGAAAAACTGTCTTCTGATACATCATATAATTTACCTAGATATTATAGATTATTTAAACCTCCCTCTACTAGGATGCAAGCCTCATCAGGGCAGGAACGTAACCCCTGATAACTGATGTGTATCCCAAGAGTGAAATGCCTGACACCAGCTTGTCATTCAATAAATATTTGTTGGATGAATGAATGCTCACTCATTGGCTTAATGAGTGATGCTGATTTAAAGCTGTTTGAAGGGCGCAGTGGAGAAGCAGCCAAGGGCCTCAGTGGAGTCAGATGATGAACGACGGGGTATTCTCACTATAAGAAGTGTCTTTGCCAGACCCAGTGGCCCTGCATGTACCTGGGCAGGCTGCCTCTTGCCATCACCTAGAGAACTAATACCTTCTGGAAACCAAGTCAGGGAGCTTGGGAAGTGTGGTGCCTTTTCTTGTACTATCTCTACTCTCAAATCTGAGAGGACAGTGACCAAGCCAGGCCTTCCCTAAGGACAAAAGAAAGGGCAAGCCAGGGCTAGCAGGAAAGGGTCTGGGCCGGGCAGTAGCACAGTGTGGGCCCAGCTGCCCAGCTCGGAGCACCGGTCATTGCCTGCCTGTGCCTAGGTGCCCTCGCCCCTCCCATCATCCTGGCCAGGGCACCAGTGACCTTTTCTATAGCAGGAAGTACCCACCAGGGAAGGTTCTTCTCCCAAAGGCTACTCGGTAGCCTTGGTGATGGTGACGACCAATATGCCTGCCAGTCTCTAACCACAGAGGTCACTATCAGATGAGCCAAGAGTCACTCTTTTGTTGATGAGAAAATGGAGACTCCCTAAGGTCAGGAGACTTAAGGTTAAACCGCTGACCAAAGTTGACTTGGAACAAGTCGCTGGGCATCTCAGCCATGGCTATGTGCAGTAGAACTGAAGATGAGAACTGTTTCTGTTTCCCCACATCCCCCCCAGCTTCCCCTCCAGGGAGGCTTCACACCTACACTGGGGACCATGGAGTGGGTGGGGCTGCTAAGGCTCCTTGCTCCTTCCTTGGAGACCCTGCCTGCACTCTTCTCCCCACAGTAATGGGGGTCAGTGGGGGTGGGACTCCCAGGAGGCAGCTCCTAACATCCCACTGATGCAACAGCCCAGGGAACAGCCCAGTGGATTTCTGGTTTGTCTAACAGAGTGGAAACAAATGAGTGGTAACTCCGCCACGGGCACACTCAGCACCACACGTGGAGATGAGCCCTAGTAGGGGCAGACAGGATAGAGGTGTTCAGGGGAGCACAGTCCTCCAGAAAGAGGCTCCGACTTCCTGTCATGAGAGATAGCTGAACAAATGCACTTCACTCCATTTTTAGACTCGCCCATTACAGGGGCTAAGCTTCTCCAGAGGCTGCCCCTCTCCCACCCCAGCCTGGTAGTGTTCTTGGCATATTAGGTAACAGGCAGACAAGTGAAATACATGAAAAGTGCTCTAGAACCCAAACTGAATAACTTGATCTACTCAACCAACATTGGCTCCCACCAGTTCTCCACCCTCTGCACCTCTGCCTGTGCCCGTCTAGAATTCAGAGCAGATACTGCAGTGAGTCTTTATGAGGATGGAATGAATTCCTTTAACACAAAGAAAGTGGACTGACTTTCACTCTTACTCTCCACACTCCTATACTTTTATTCCCAAATCAAGTTGCACCAGAATTGTCTTTCCATTCATGCAAGTCCTATCTGCCTTCCTTACCACATGCCAGATCCTTTTGAAAATGCCCTTCCCCTACACTTCTTTCTAGCAAAATCCCTCCATATAATCTTCAACACTTGGCTCCCATATTACCTCCTCTGTGAAGCCTTCCCAGGCTTCACCATTCTGGGTTCCTAGAATCTTCCTTTTAAACCTCTCACATAATTCATCAATAGTATTGTCTGAGGTCCACTATGTGAGACTGCCTTGTTAGGTAAAAAATAGCCAAATATTGGCAATATCATATGGTAAAATGTGAGACATCTCTATGCTAATATGCTGTTTGTCATCTACACCATAGTAAGAGAACTATACCTCCCTCCTCTTTGTCTTTCCAGTATCTGGCATGATGGTTAGCATATAGTGGGTGCCCAGAAAGTGCTTGCTAGACAAGTAAGCACCATTTGATAAGGTTTTGTGTGCTGTCTGTTCTGTTTAGTTTCTTGCTCCAACACAAAACCAAAACCAAACTCAGGACTGTTGTAAAGCACCTTATAAATTTTCATCCCAGCCAAGCCAAGCTTCAGATGGTTGTCTGAGCAGGCTGAGCAGAGGAGGAGAACATCTAAGAACATGCAAGGAGTAGGGGAAGCCAATTGTTTGGGATAACTACCTTTCTGGCAGGAGAAACAGAGTCAACAGTTGATGGAGAGGAAGTAGCAGCTGAATCAGGAGATGGAAGGCAGGAGGGAGAAGACGGAGGATGAGTATGAGACAGGCTTTTAGAGAGTAGTTTATTCTGCACAGAACAGAAACAGAGGAAACTTTGATTATCCATAGGGAAATGCACAGTGATGCTTGCCTCGATGATATAGCCCCCTAATCTACACATCCAAGGAGAGGAAAGGATATCCAGGCTCCTGTCTCAGGACAAATATGTAACCTGTATCTTTGGAGCCCAGCAGGACTGTCTAGTTCCTGGTTACAATGCACTCTGTTACAGCTATTCTGGCTCCCTCATCACAAAATAGCTAGAGCAGAGCCATCCTATTCCTGACATGAACATAGACACGAACTCCTGGAGGCCTCACTCTGGAGCTTGGTATAAAGCAGCAGCTTCAAGTTTAGGAAAGGACAACTGCAGGAGGCTCTGGGGCACATGCCCCAGCAGGGGCCTCTGCAACCACAGAGAACCCTGAAAATGAACGAATGGCAGAGTATTCTTCCCATGGCTATGCTCTGCCCAGTAGCAGAGAACACAGGTCTGGAGGAGGCTGAGTGAAAGCCGCAGAGGAGGTGTGTTCTAGAGACCAGGCGTGCTGCAAGCATGGGAGTACCTTACACATGCACGCACCATGGGTCCTCACCCTCAACTCTGTCACCTCCTTGCAAGCACATACTCTTCTTTTCAGCAGGTTTCTAACTAAGTGCCGGGACTGGGCTGTGCTTGCTATTCTAAGGCAAGGCCATTCTGTCTGGCTGGTGCTGCCTTTTGGGAAAGCAGAGCAGGTTGTGGCCTGTGGTTGACCTTGACATTCAGGGTCTTCTGGATCAGGGCTATAGTGGTATTTCTCCACTATGCTGCCAAACATCATGAGCAACTGGTTTGCTTTCACTCTAAAGGCACCGTGATGTGATTTCTGCAGTGAGCCAGCTTTCCCTCTTTGTGTTGACCCCTAGGAAGCTCAGCTTACTCAGAAGCTAAGACCTGACAGTACACATGCTTCCATTTTCCTGTGACCTGAGCCTGCTTTTCTGCCTTGGTTTTCCCTTTGTCCTGATTTATCTACTTATTGAGTCTCCTCATTTGGAGCTTTTTTAGATGCCAGTCCAAAGCCTTCGGTGACTTGAAAAGTAAATAGCTTTACAGACTATAAAGGGTAGAGGAAGGAAGAAACGAAGCTCCAGAGACCGATTCATGTCATCTCCCCACAGGTCCAACACCTGGGTTCCCGGGGGCTCTGAAAGCCCTGCATTTACCTGTGGGAAATCCCCGTGTCCAAACATGGAGGCAAGGTGAGCCGCCTTCTCCTTAATGTTCTTTTTGTGAAATTCCCTGTTGGCCAAGTTCTGAGCCCTTTTCTGCAGCCAAGGCGAGAACGGAGAAAGAAAAAAGAGACAGTGACAGAGATGGTGAGGGTTCCCTCTGGAAGAGAGGCGGAAAGGCAGCCAGGTGGGCTTGCTGTGCTCAGTACACAGGGCAGGCAGGATGAGAGATGGGGAGGGGCAGTCGGAAGAGGAACCCAACCTGGGCAGGAGGGGCGGGGGAAGGCAGGCATCCCAGACACAGGCAGGGCAGAGGCAGGGCGAAGAACGAGGCTGTCACCTGGAGAACCTTTTCCTCTACTTGCTGCAGCCGCCGCAGCACCCCAGAGAGGGCCAGCGCTCCTGGGCAGGTGGGAGGCAGGCTGGCAAGGTTTTCTGGCCCACCCAGTTGCAGGTCAGACTTGGCTCGGGCTCTCCAGGGCCTGGTTGGACACTCGCCACCAGCAGACACTTGCTTTAGCTCTCGGAGCACATGCCCTGTCACAACCACGGAGGGGAACTAGGGGAGACGGAAAATCAAGCTTCCTTCCCGAGGAAGGCCCTCTCATGGACCCCTCCCACCACTCACTGTGAGGAATCCCCACCAGGATCAGGGACAAGGGTATGCCACGTGCCACCTTGAGTGAGATTCCAAACTAACCTTGAGTGTTGACTTCTCACCACCTGCATCAGAATCACCTGATAGCCTCCTTAACAATACCATCTGGGGTGTTATCGACAACACTCCAGACCTCCCAAATCAGAACCTGTACTGTCCTGGTTCTGAAAGTCAGGGCTCAACCCCCAGAGAGTCAGCTTTAATTGGTTTGGGGGTGGGTACCAGAGATGGACATTTTTTAATAAAACTCTCTAGATGATTCTTATACACAGGGACATAAAATCACTGCACTATCCACACGGACCTCCTTTGACTTCCGCCACCCCCACCCCTGGAAGCAACACAAAATTCCTAATGCTGTCCAGTAGTTTTGAGTGCTGTGTCAATAACAGTGATTCTAATTCCAAACCCAGAGGTGTTAACTGGAAAAAAGCCTCAGCCCATGGCTCCTGGCTGCCTCCCTACCCACTGGGCAGTTCAGGCCCTTGGGGGACCTGGGAGGTCTTCATCACATCCCCCCACATCAATGGCATATGGCTAACTGGCCACCTGAGCCCATTCCATCATCACTGCCACTTTTCCCCATCAACTTAGAAATCAGTCTACTCAAGAGATCTGCAAATAAGCTGAGTATCCCAGGGGCACTACACAAAATACCCTGTGTGGTGTGGTCTGTTTTTTCCTAAACAAATACAGCACTGAAAGCATGGTAGTTGGTCAGCTGATATCGCCGACTGGCATGTATTTAAGATGCGGCATCCTTGGTTATTCTTACCTATAAGGGTGGTAACCTCAAGTTGTATCTGCCTTCCCAGAGAATCTACACTCAGCCCTAAGTGGGGTGCAGAGAGAGCCATGAACCCCAACCCCTCTGGATCAAAGTCCCCTCTGGCTTCACCAAGACGGCATCCACTGGAAGGAGTCCTACCTGCCTTTTCAGGGTTGGTGATGGGCTGGGTGTGGGCTCCTCCGGCTTGGGACAGCGAGAGTTAACAGGAGGGTCAGAGGAAGAGCGCAGTATAGGCTTACCTATCCCTGAGACACGGTGCTCCTGGGAGGAGGAAGGTGAGTCCGAAAAAAAGCAGCCACAGGAAATAGGAAGGAAAAGGTGAGTCAGATTGAGACACTTGGAGGAGGAGAGGAGAAGAAGCAGGGAGACAGAGTTTGCAGATGCCGAGCAAGCCCAGGGCTGAGCTCTGACAAGCTGTGCCCAGCTGGAAAACGTGAACCCCAGCCCTCTGTCCCTGGTAACAGCTAGTCCCATGGTCTCTTTCTCTTAGACAATGTGTGTGTCCCCAGGAGGCAGTGTTTTTGGCTCGGACCGGGGCACTGAGCAGGCACTGCCAGAGCCTGTGCCAGGCAAGGGTGGCTAGTCCCAAAGTCCCTCCTGCCCATTAGATGATAGGGATGCTACAGTCCTTCTGAAGGAAGAGAGCCCTCATCAACACCTGGGGACCACAAGCGGTCAAGCCCCCAGAAAGGCCAGTTGAGAAAACAATTCAGACAGTTACAAATCTCAGAAACCTCCTTATAATAAAACCTGGTTTCCTGGGGGAGGTCAGTTTTTTCAGAAGGGGCATGATCTACATCAAGACTAGAAAGATGTCTATGATTGCCTCTGAACCATATTAACCAAGAGCTACTCCTTCTCCTGAGAGGGGCCTAATTCTGTCATGTGACGGATATTCTCCAAAGGCAAACTGAACCCCTTGTCCCAACCTTTTGTAATGTGGCAGTGGTGTCCCAAAGAAATTCAGGGGAGCAAATGAAACCGCTCAAGTGCACTCCAAGTCGGAGTCTGAGACAAGAGAGCCAGGCCTGTGGCCTGACCCACAGCATCCCACCGTCTTCAGCCTTACACAGACCCTGGTCAGACAAACAGTCCTGCCAGCCTGACCCAAGGGAACAAGGAGAGAGGAGCACAGGGTACACTCAGGGGGTTGGTTTCCATTCCTGTAGGCCTACATGGCGCTAAGATCTGTGATTCAGTTCCCCTGGTTTGGACGGGGTTTTCGCCATGGACTTAGACCCTCAGACAGTCAGCATCTCTAAAGCTTCCTCCAGCTGCTCCATCTCAAAGATGACTATAAACCCAGCCATGGTTGCAAAGCAAAACAAAATCAGGGCAAGGATTTTATCTCCAATAAAACAGGCATCAGCAAACTACAGTCCTCGGCCGAATCCAGCCTGCTGCCTGTGTTTGTAAATAAAGTTTTATTGGCACACCGCCACATGTATTTGTTTACATACTGTTCATGGCTGCCTTCACAGTGACTCAGCTCTGCCTTTATAGCAGAGCTGAGTCATTGCAAGAGAGATCACATCGACCCTAAAGTCTAAAATACTTGCTACCCAGTCCCTTTTAGGAAAGTCTGACTCCAGATCAAGAAGAAGCTCAGGTCTCCTTTTGAGCCAGGACTGGCTGGCATACCTGAAGTCCAGCACTTGCCTGACATTTGCCGGCTTCTCAGCAGGCTCTGGTCACCAGGAAGGCAAGGTCAGTGGATGTGTGACAGCACTCACCTGCCTCAGGATTGAGGGGTTCCGCGAGCTCTCCTCGAACTTGGCCAGCAGCTGACTTGCCATGGACTTGACTTTGTTCTGATTTCCACCTTCCTTAATGCCCTCTTGATTGGAGCCCAAGCTCTGGCTGGAAAAGGCTGAAGGCTGCAAAGGCCAAATCAGTGCATTGGTTGTTGGATCCGGAACCCAGATATCATGGGGTAGGCCTGGGGGCTCACGACAGGGAGAGTTCCTGAAGAAGGACACCCTCTATGGTCTGAGAAAATGAGGCAGACACAGCAGGCAACGCCCAGTGGAGACAATGCTCAAAGGTGGGACATGGTTCCCCAAAGGTGGGCACAGCCAGGCTTGCGAGCCAGTGTTTGAATTCTGACTTCTCTGACGTTTCCTCATTTGTAAAATGGGAGCAGTAACCCACCCTCGTGTAACTGTTGCAAATACAAAATATAATAATGAAATGATGAACAGAACAGTTTCCAAACCCATCACGTGGCTGACAGGAGGTAAGAGTAGTGGGGGTGAACGAAGCAAGAGGGGGTGTCAGTGGGGCAACGCACAGGTGCCTAGCTTCCCCTCTCTCCTCTGCACCCCACGCCCAATGGCAACCAGCCCTGTCCTGTTGTTTCTATCTTTTTTAAAAAAGTTTAATTTTGAAATAATTTTAGACTAACAGAAAAGTTACAAAGACAGCACAGATAGCTCCTGTATACCACAGATGCAGCTGTACTTAATATTAACATATGGAATAATCATGGTACTGTTATCAAACCCAAGAAATTAAGACTGGCATGATACCATTAACAGAACTATGGACTTGATTCAGATTGCACCAGTTTCCCACGGATGTCCTTTTAGGTTCCAGGATACAATCCAGGATCCCACACTGCATTTAATCATCATGCCTCCTCCACCTCCTTCCATCTGTAACAGTCTCTCCATCTTTTTCTGTCTTTCATGACCTTGACAGTTGTGAAGGACACAGGTCAGCTATTTTGTACAAAGTCCCTCCATCTGGGTAGGACTGATGGTTGCTCATGATTAGACTAGAGTTAGGGATTTTGAGGAAGGATGTCACAGAGGTGAGAGGTCCTTCTCATTGCTTTGTTTTGGGATACATGATATCAACATGACTTGTGACTGTTTAGAGGCTGACCTTGACTGCTTGGTTATGCTACCTTATAAAATGGAATTCCATCTAAGATTTTCTTAGCTCATCTGCTAAAAATAAGACATTGAAACTGATCGCTGTCCAGTAAATGTCTGTTCCCTGGTACCATAGATCTGCTCCCATCAGCCTCAAAAATACAAATGGCATTGTCATGTCAAGAGGGCAGTTTTCCCAAGGAGACAATGCATCTCCCTTACAGGAACAGATGTTCTCAAAACAAAGATATGTTCACTTAGAAGAAATTCATGAGACGAGATAAGCTATAGTCAATTGTTTTTTTGTTTTTTGTTTTTTTTTTAAGATTCCCTAAGTGTAGCAGCCCCATGGGAAACCTAGTATGCACAGCCACTCTGAAGAGTTGGACAAACACAAATCAAAGAGTCACTCCCCACTTCAAAGCGGGAACTGCAACTCTGCATAGCAATCCAGTCTTGAGTGTGAATAGGGCAAGTTTACTAGGCTGGTCACTGTTTGTACAGCCCAAAGTAGGCCAGGACAGTGGGTCATGCAGACAGGCCCTTTGCAGACATTCATGTGCTCATGAATCACTTTAAAACCAGATTTGGATTCAGTGGGTCTGGGGTGGGCCCTGAGAGTCTGCATTTTTAACCAGCTGCCAGGTGATACTGGTGCCCTGGTTCTTGGCTCACACTTCGAGTAGTAAGAATTTAGAGGAAATTATTGCTTGGTTAAATCTCACTTAAGCAAATAGCTGGCCAAGAAAATAGAGCCATTTCAGAAGAGGCAGGTGCGACCAGATTTCTTCCCACACTGACTGCTGTGCTGCCAGCAACAGAAACAGTACAAACACCCCCTCAGATGAGGCACAGATGAAAGGCAGGAGAAGACTTCCCCACGGACAAAATGTATCCAAGGGAAGCTTCCTGGGAGGAGGCGGGAGCAAATCATAGGCACTTAGAGCAGAGGCAGCGCCCCATAACTAGAGAATGGGATGTTTCTCAGCCATGGCTTCCTCCTCTCAGCTGGCTTCCTGCTCACACCAGACCCAACAGCAACAGCTCTCAATCATATAAGTAAAAGGAGTTTTTTCTAAGTCCTATAAATCAAGTACGAATGTATCCTACAAATTATCCCTGTGCTGCTGAGTCATTGTTTTGGCATCAGCCAGTAGGCTAGCTAAAGCTGGTATTCTTAAAATTTACAGACAGTATCTAGCCTGCTTTTGTGGATTAGAATGGCTTTTTGTAATAAGGTGTGGGGCTTCCCTGATAGCTCGGCTGGTAAAGAATCTGCCTGCAATGCAGGAGACCCCGGTTTGATTCCTGGGTCGGGAAGATCCCCTGGAGAAGGGATAGGCTCCCCACTCCAGTATTCTTGGGCTTCCCTTGTGGCTCAGCTGGTAAAGAATCCGCCTGCAATGCGGGAGACCTGGGTTCGATCCCTGGGTCGGGAAGACCCCCCGGAGAAGGGAAAGGCTTCCCACGCCAGGATTCTGGCCTGGAGAACTCCATGGACTGTATAGTCCACAGGGTCGCAAACAGCAGGACACGACTGAGCGACTTTTACTTTCTTTCACTTGGAATGAGGGATATGTCTCAGGTCTCTTTAAAGAGCTGCCCGGGGAAGCAAGAACTGGTACTCTTTCTTCTGATCAATTTTTCAGCAGCCGGAGAGAGCTAGTCCTGCTTGGCTTTGGCCAAGTAGCCTGTAACTTCCTTCTTTCACCAGAAGGTGGCACTTGTGGGCGCTGGGACATTCCCCTTAAAGACTCATGGTACAGAAAGCACAAGAAGTAGAAATGAGGTCTGGAATAGTGGGACTGTTGGTGCCTCTTTACTACTTACTATTAACAGTGGTTATATCTTGATTAACCTAGGTGCCAGAGACCGTGATTGGTATGGTGTGTGCAGGCATGCATGCTTACACATCCTCTAATGTAATCTTTAAGATTAAATTAAACCTTGTTTAATCTTGACTCTGGCATGTAGAGAATCTTGTCCTCTGCAGACTGAGAATCTTACTTCTTTTCCAACCTGGACTCCTTTTATTTCTTTTTCTTCTCTGATTGCCATGGCTAGGACTTCTAAAACTATGCTGAATAATAGTGGTGAGAGTGGGCACCTTTGTCTTGTTTCCTGATTTTAGAGGAAATGCTTTCAGTTTTTCACCACTGAGAATAATGTTTGTTCTGGGTTTGTTATATATGGCCTTTATTATGTTGAGGTATGTTCCTCCTATGCCTACTATTTAATCTTTGAAAATTCTGCAAAAAGTCCTACATTTCAAATGCAACATCTGTGTTTTACAGACATGAGCCACACCCTGGGAGAGTGACATAGCCAGTGACCAGACCCGACTGTTTTCCCATCAAGCGAAGCCTGGCACCCAGCGGTTCATGAGAGGGAAGAAAGAAGGGCGGGGAGACTGCCTCGGTCAGGCGAGTGGGCTGTGGCCACTGGCTGTCAGGAAACAGGCCTTTGTGTAAACCGATGCTGAGCACACGAACCTCGTCCAGGTTGTTGAAGCCCTTCCGCCTCCGCTTGTTCATGTCATTCTCTTCGGTCCGGCTGTCCACCTGTGATGGCCAAGAAAGCATGGTGAGCTCAGGGCTGGCCAGGGGCTGCGGTGCCAGCACTGGGGATCCAACCCTGCCCACAATAGCTGCCAGCCCAGTTACCCTGCACCGTGACAAATGCTTTCAGCTCTGTTCAGGCACAGCGGAGGAATCCTCCCTCCGCCTCAGGAGCCAGGGCTTCTGTCAGAAGAGGGTGGGAATACAGATCCCCAAATCATGCCGAAACATCCCAGAGCACAAAGAATCCCTGTGACACGGGCAGAGATTGCCTCCTTTCAGTGACCTTGGACTCAGAGCCATCACAGCCAGGCCTGCTGATGCTGCCCTGAGGATATCACCTCCTATGAAGAGGTGTCACTGGCTCCCCTGACGGGCGCGGATTCTCAGGACTCAGATCAGCTGTCCAGGAATTTGACGACAAATTACTTCTGCCATTCAGTCCCACTGCAGCTACTGGTAAATGATACTGTGTTAACTTCAAAACAGTATCAGATATGACATGAAAACTATGATGACCATATAGCTAAGTCTGCCCAGGACATTTTGATGTATTGCTTCCCCCCCTCCCCCATCCCAGGCATAATTAGGAATAATGCCCTCTTTTTTATTATTTTTAAGATTTTTTGTTGTTGTTGTTATGGACCATTTAAAAAGTCTTTGTTGAATTCTTTGCAATATTGCTTCTGTTCTATGTTTTGGTTTTTTGGCTGTGAATCATATGGGATCTTGGCTCCCCAAGCAGGGATCGAACCTGACCCCCTGCACTAGAAGTCAAAGTCTTAACCACTGACCACCAGGGAAGTCCCTCATTCTCAAAAGTACCCTGGTTTAGACAAAAAATTGCATGACTGTCCTATTGATAACCCCTTACAGTCGACTCTGCTTCGCAGATTTGGACATTAACATCCAGAGACCCCCTTCTACCTCAGGCTATTGCATGATGCCTGCAAGGACCACCCAAGGGCACACCTGTGGTCTGGCTTTTCTACTTAAGGGAAGCAGTGGGTGGGACTGCACAAGTTGAGCTGATGCTATGAGCTGGCTAGATTTGGTGCTTCCCCCTACCCACCAACCCTCTCCTTGACACTGGGGTTAGACCTAAGCTGGGACCTTCCCCATATGGCCAGCCCACTGAGGACCATGGAGCCAACCCCACTGACTATGCCTCCCCATGGGAGACTCCAACCCCCTCAGCGGGGAAAATGTGAAAAGTGTGTTAGTTACCCATGGCCTGTAGCCCACCAGACTTCTCTGTCCATGGGATTCCCCAGGCAAGAATACTGGAGTGGGTTGCCATTTCCTTCTCCAGGGGATCTTCCTGACCCAGGGGTCAAACCCTTGTCTCTTACATCTCCTGCACTGGCAGATGGATTCTTTACCAATCTGAGCCATCAGGGAAGGCCAGATTAAATCCCAGCCTCTGTTCACACTGGATGCAGCTGAAACGGCTTCTGGCCTCTCTCTCCCCTCCAACCCAGGCTGCAGCCCAATCAGCACCACATGTCCTCACCTTGCCCCATCCCAGAGGACCCTTTACCTCCCGGATGTTGTAAATCAACAGGAATGATCAGAGCCCTCAGCACAGAGTCTAGTCTGTACCCACTCGCTCTCACAGGCAAGCACCTGCTCCCCCTGCTCTTACACTCCTCACCACCTCTGCCCCTCCTCCTATTTACCAGCAACTTGAAAAAATTTTAAAACAAGATCAACCGCAGTGTAGTCATTGATATTTGTTCAAAAATGTGACCCTTCTCTTGCTCAGGCAGCACAAAACAACAGATCAAAGGGCCTCACCTTCCCTTTAACATTTTCCTCTGCTTCTAACAAATCATTTTTCTGTGAATGGAAATGATTTCAACCCAAATGTTTGGGCAAACACCAAGAGAAACAGATGACCTTATTTGCAGCGTCCGGTTCTAGAGGCCTAGGCTGTTTAGGCGCCCGGCTCCATGGTCTGTGAGTGCTACACTGGCCCCGAGACAAGCCTGTGAAAGTACAGGGTGTCCTCCCCACAAGAACACTTCAGGCATCATCTTAGAGTTTTCTGCTGTTCTTCCTGTTTCTACCTTTAATGAGGACTTGGTTTTTCCCTCAAAGAGCAGCATATCTTACTCTCTGGGTGTGATTGGTCCAACAATCAGAGCCTACATGGATCCAAATTCAGTATATTAGTGGCTGGTGCACAGAAAACATTCCTGGGGGGAGAGTACCCAGAAGCAGGACCTAAGAAGACCCCCAAATTCTTCAGGGAGAGAGGAAGTGGGTGGGGGCAACCTCAACTCCTCTGATTCAGCCTGACCCACAGGACAATAAAAAAATGCAGTCTATATGGAAAGGTCAGCCACACAACAGACCCAAAGGGTCTCTGCTCTTCCATATGGATTTATCATGAAAGCACTTATGCTCAACTCAGAGCTAGGTTAAAACACAAAGCTTGAGAAAACACAAACCTGGAGTTTTATCTAATTTTTCTTATCTGTACATCTCTATTCAGGAGCCAAAATATCCTCCGTATCCCCCTCTCCTTGAACTCTATTTTGCACCATAGAGAAGTGGGTACAAGGAGGAAGAAAATAGTTATTGTGCCCTGAGACAGCAGGAGATTAAACAAATAACTCACTTCCTTTTCCCATAAATTTTTCCTGTCCTTTCATCCTAAGATACTTTCTTATCATGATTTCCCAATGATTTGAAAGAGTCTATGTATCAAAAGACATTTATTAAACTACTTGGTGATCTCCATTTAAAAAAACAGACGTGTATCTAGACGTATATCTACCAAGCTCATCATTTATTTGATCAGCACAAAATATTCTTGTTCCCATACTACCTGACTTAAGTTGATTTTAGCTCCAAACAAGCCAGCTTTATATTTAGTTAGCCGATGAACCCTAACCCTGGAGAAATTCAGACCAAGGTCACAGGAAGCGAGACTGGCCATTGTAGGCAGTGACCTGACTGAAAGTACAGTGGCCACCATGATATTTAGAAAGATGGCCAGTGACCCTGGCAAGAGGGCTCCCCTCTCCGTGGCAGAGCAGCAAGGAGCCATGGGTTCAAGTTCTGACCTGAATTACTTTCCAGCTAAGTGAGCTTGGGAAAATCATCAACTTTTCTGACTTTAGTTTCCTCACCTCTAGGATCCTACACTAAGCTATTGTAAGGATGAATACAAAAAAAAAAAAAAAAAAGATGAATACAATCATGTATATAAGACACTTCTTCCATGTAGTGCTGTATAAGTGTCAGACGTTTGAAGTTAGGTCAGTGCTATTCATAGAATTAGAAAATCTGAATTCTAGTCTGGCTTTGACATTTACCCACCTATATGGCATCACAATATAATCTCCCTAAGACTAAGTTTCCCCACCTCTAAAACTGGGATGAGAATATGTCCCTTGACTTCCTCAAAAACTAAGAGCAAATGAGCTATCTACAGCACTGCTGTGTGCGCTGTACAATGCTGGATCCGTCACGGCTGCAGTGCACAAGCCAGTGGTCAACCCAGCTAGTTCTACCCTTTTCAGAAAACGAGTATCTTTGTTCACTCAGTACTCCTAAAGGACAGGTTGGGGACCATCACGTACAGAGCCCTTTCTATGTGCCAGAGAAGGAGATCAGATCTGCAGCTCACATTGGTTCAACACCGTCTTCACAGCAATGCAATGCTTGTTATCATGTCACATTTTGCAGCCAAGCAAAGAAACTTAGAGAGGTTCAAACATGTGCTGAATCACCAGCAGACCAAAATATGCAGTCATCGGCCTGGCTTTAAAGTGCATCCTCATTCTATAAGGCAGTGCAGAGTCCCAGGTTGTGGAAACACAGAGGACAGGAGTGATCACTGTCCACAGACACCTGCAGACCTCGGGTGTCCAGGGTGGTGGGGGGGCGTGCACGCGGCTCAAGGCCCACACTGGCCAAGCAAGGCAGCATTAGGACCCAGGGCCCTTGACTCCCTAAGCCGTCTTCAAGTCTCTGAACTGACAAGTGTGAAAAACCTAGTGGGAGTTCTGGCTGCTGGGTGGGCGGTTCTGTGAGCACGGCTGGAGAAGGGGGGTGAGAGGAACTTAGGAAGCTGCACTTGAAAGTCAGTTCCTTCTGGCAGGGACCCTGGCCCTCTTGTTCATTGCTGTGCCCCAGCAATGAGAACTTGGCATAAAATGGGGACTTAGTAAATCTTGGTTGAATGAATGGGCGGATGGAGGAGGGACTTTCTCACAGAATGGCCCCTGAATCTTTGGAAAGTGTCTGTGGAGGAGAGTCAGGAGAAGGGCTAGAAGGGCCCCTCCTACCCCTGGCTCAGACCGGACACTGATCTTACTCATGCTTTGTGGATCCCACTCCGCCAGGGACCAGCAATAGAGGAGGACCTGGGTCAGAATCAGCCAGCAGACCAGGATAAATCCTGGGGCCACTGACCTGGCTTCTAGGATGGGGTTTCCAGGGACAAATGACAAGTTCTGTGTTGCCTTGTCCCTCAAGGAATGGGTTCAGAATGGGGAAAACAAAGACCAAACAACTTGACTGTGTCTGTCGTATGTATTGTGACTGAAGAGGCCATAAATCCAGGTATTATCTATGTGGGGTCAGATGAGAAAAGCATAGACAGGTAGTGTGTGCATGTGTATATACACACCCACGTGCACACACAGGATAAAGATCACATTTGTGTGTTCAGATTTCGCCTGTGGGTATGGTGACAAGTGTGTGTACATGCCCACACACATACACAGAAGGACAGAGACCACATATGTCTGAACATGGTGACAAGAGCTCTGGGTCTCCAGGAACTGCCCCACACCACCAGGCTGCTAGAAGCTGATCGGGACAGAGGCAGATCTGCAGAAGTAGACCAAGGGCCTTTTAAGAGAAAACAGAATCCCCAATTCTTCTCCTTCTCCCCAGGCATGGGCCATCCAGTCTCCAGAGATAACCAGCCCCAGTTGGTTACCATTCACCAGAGGTACAGCCCTCTCGGCATGGGATAGGAAAGTCATTGTCTCTAAAATAAGTTCCTGGATGGAGGAAAAGCCTTCGGTTTTGCCCAAAGTTGTTGTCTTTTGCTGGAATTTAGATATTATCAGGAAAACAAGATTAGGGAGGAAAGAAGGTTTTAACACCAACATCAAAAACCAGGAGGGCGAGAGAGTGTTAGCCCAGTTCAGGAGAGAAACAAAGAGCCCGCTTCAGATTAAGACACCACATGTGAACAAATATGGGCTGCTCAATCTCTGTATCTGGAGAAGGCACTGGCAACCCACTCCAGTGTTCTTGCCTAGAGAATCCCAGGGACAGGGGAGCCTGGTGGCTGCCGTCTATGGGGTTGCACAGAGTCAGACGTGACTGAATCGACGCAGCAGCAGCAGCAATCCCCATATCAAGATGCTCCTCTGAAGTTAGTAAGGAGGGAGGACGGGTAGGGAGAGATGGGGGAGGGGGAGGGGAATACAGATGCACCTATACATACAGATTGTGTGTTCGAGCCCTGGTGTAGAAAATCACGCAAGAACAGCCTAGCCTGCATGTCCAGACCGTAAGGATACATGTACCAGGGCAGTGAAGACTGAGTGCTTAATTGCACTGACATCTCCTGGGTGTAACGGTGGGGGAGCCCCATGTGTATGTACAGTATTCAGTCTCCTGTGTAGAACTCCACTGTGTGTGTCCAGAGGCAACCTGGAGTGTACTCAGTACCCCTTGCTTATGAGACATGTTAAGACCAAAGAGCATTGCTAACAGATATCTCCAAGCCAAAAGAGGATCCAGACATATGACACAAGATAAAAAGGGGAGAAGGTACTGTGCATGTAGTCTGACCATTGCACTGGAGCTGAATGGCAGACGGTATATGCTGGGGTGCTTCAGTACCAGGGCAGAATGTGACTCAGTGGCGTTATAAACCCACCAACCCCCCTAGAGGAAGCATTCAATCAGTTTGAGGAGAAAGGGCGGGACAACAAATACCGACACCAGGCACTTACTTCAATGACCTGACCTCCCTACCTATCTGAGGAGCAGGACAAAGTTCAGATGTTAAATGGGGACGTGGGAGGGAATCAGATGTGTGGATTTCAACTGCTCTCAAGATGTACAGCCAAGGAGCACACCCTGGATGTGGGCCAAAACCAGCCAGGGCTGGGCCGGGCAGAGCCCACACATCCCCACTGCATTTGCTCCCAGAGCCAGGCCAAAGTGGAGCAAGGCTCCAGCAAACCTTCAGAGAGCCTGGCTGACGGCCGACTTTTGACCATTCCCACCTCCTGAGCCAGTTGGCCAGGCTGTTTCAATTCGGTCACTCTGTAAACAGAGGTGTGGTGAGTGAAAGGTTTAAACATTCCTCTCCAGTTCCCAGTTATGGGCTAAGTGGTGGGAGAAATCGGGTGAACAGAGAAGAGTGCTAAGTGTCTGGCTCAGAGAGCTTCCAGAGAGACTGCACTGGCTTGTCTGGGATGGAGTAGCCCAAAGCAGGGGTCCTCGGTCATCAGAGGAGAAGCAGCTGGGCTGGGTTGGGGCAAGCCGACGACTGGGCTCCAGAAAATCTCTTTCACTCAGTGTGACGTGTGGTGGGTTACGGTGCCTCCCACAGAACCTCTGAGTGGGGCGGCTCGGGGAGCAGAGGGGGACAGAGCAATGGGGTACAGCTGCTCTGCTTACACCTGAGCTGACCCGCTCATCCTGCTTCCCCAGACCCCCAACTTGTCCCCTCCTGCAGGCAGGGCCTGCAGAATACTAAGTACCCGGCTCCTGAAGTCAGCACAACCACTGTTACATTCCAGGGAGCACAGCCCACAGTGGAAAAAGTGACCACTGATCACACAGCCCAGGGAAAGAGAGGAGGCCACACGGCCCGAGCTCCACCCTGGGCAGAGGGGCCGGCAGGACAAGGCGTGACTGGCCAGCAGTTAAGAGCCTGTCGACGATCCAGAGACACGGAGACACCTGCAGAGGCCTGCAGTCCTCCTCTGAGTGAGGGCGGGGGAAGGTAAGCTCAGCGCACACCCTTGCAGCCTAATGTCTCTGAGTGGACGTTTTATCTATAAAATGGGCACGTCAATCAAAGCAACTTGTATTATACCTTCGAAATGTAGCCATTCATATAAAATTATAATTTCTTGGACTCCCTAGTGGTACAGTGGAGAAGAATCCGCCTACCAGTGTAGGAGACACAGGTTCGATCCCTGGTCTGGAAAGATTCCACATGCCGCAGAGCAACTAAGCCTGTGCTCCACAGCTACTGAGTCCTCATGATCTAGAGCCCATGCTCCACAACAAGAGAGGCCCGAGAACCACAACCCCACTCTCCACAGCGAGAGAAAGTCCACATGTAGTGATGATGACACAGCACAGCCAAAAATAAATAATTTTTAAAAAACTGTAATTTCTCACTAGGCCTGTGGGTTTCAAACTATGTACCAACGCACCCCCCAGGCACCATAGTGAATTCACAGAGGAGCTGCAGGATATTTTAAATTTTCTAGGGAAGCATGGTGGTGCTTGTCACATACCTTGCAAAACACCCCTACCAAGTTATTATATTTGGATGTAAATGCTTAGCAAATGAAACTTTTAGGTATTTCTTTTGATCTGGGAACAGTGCGAAAAAAGTGACTAAGACATGAAAGGTGCCACTGAGTCAGGAAACTTTGGGAACCTCTTTATTAGGCTCTGAACTTCTCAAAGGCAACGGCCCACTTATTAATCATCTCTGTATATCTGCTCCTCTCAAAAACTAACAAAACATTCAGCTTTAAAGTTGGCATGAAGTAGGGCCCAATAGGCATTTGCTGAATGAATGAAATTTAAAAAAAAAAAAAAAAAAAAGAATGGAACAGAATGTGTAAATGTAGCCCCTTCATCCACCTCTGCTACTAAATGGCCATCATGTTCCTGATCTAAACTGCTTAGCAAAGTGAGATACCATCTCCTCCTCCTCCCTGCTTAGGAGGCAGGGCTAATCTTTACTTTAAAAAATACTCACTGGCGTGTCCTCTTCACTCTCTACCCTGCCCCTCCTATAACCACATTGAAGGCTTTGAAGCTGGCTACACCATGCAAGGGAAGTTGACCGAGTCCTACTCATGTCTTTCATGAGCGCTCGATCTGTGTAATTTATCAGCACAAACAGACGCAGCCCATGGCACTTCCCTTCCCCTCACCCCATCCACCTGCAAAGAGAGATTAAACAACCCCAGATTGAAACTTACTCGCGGAGTCCTCTTCCTCGGAAACGTGAGGTTGAGATAGTGATGAGGAATGGATGACTTGGCCAAGCCAAGGTCGGCATTCTCTTCGTGGTTTTTACGCCAGGAATCTGTTAGGAAGTAAAAGTAAGACTGAGATTCGGATCCTGCCACTGCTCCCCCAGAGTTCAGGGGGTGTCACTGAGACAAAGTCCCTCCAAAGTAACTCCTTCACCCCCAACTGAAGCTGCCGGTGGCCTGTGTAGGGAGCTGGTGCCACTCTGTCCGTGACCTCCTGGTGACAAGGGCAGGTCTCATGTGACACCTACCACACAGGACCCACTTACACACAGAAAGTGTTAGTTGCTCAGTTGTGTCCGACTCTTTGCGACCCCATGGACTGTCATCTGCCAGGCTCCTCCCATTTGTGGTATTTCCTGGTGAGAATACTGGAGTGGGTTGCCATTCCCTTCTCCCGGGGAATAGAACCTGTGCACAGGGTCCACCCCTATTTAGGCTCAAAGGCAAGGGGGGGCAGGGGTCAGCCCCAGAACAGAGGCCATCAGTGTGAACGGCAGCGAGCTGTAGGTGCAGAGCAGAGATGGCTCGGGGGCAGGGAAAGCCTCGTCCAAAAGCAGGTCCTTACCCACAGGCCTCAGAGGGGCGCCCCGGAAGAGCTCGTAGAACTTGGAGAGGTACATGACCATACTGAGCTTGTCGGGCTCCTGGGCCGATGCCATCTCTTTGCCTGTGGTCACTGGGGGGATGCCAAACTCACGCTCCGCCACTTCAAATGCCAGCTGGTTGTTCTCCACAGTGTCGTCTTCGTTCAAAGAGTCAAAGTTGCTGGAGAATCAGAATGAAGTGAAGTTCAGGGAGAGGATGGAGAGGGGTGAAGAGCTGAACAACCTCAGCTGTAAGGAGCGCTGCAGGGGACACTGCTCCCACTCGGATCCCTCCACCACCACCCCTGACCCCTTAGCGGGGCTCAGTCAGAAGAAGTAAACCCCGTTCTCACTCAGGGAGGGACCAAATCAGATCTAGGCCATGAGAATGTCATGGGCTGAAAACATAAGAAAACGATTGGAAAATCTATGAGCTATTTTAAGTAGTTCCCTTATATTCTTTCCCTTTTAATTACAAAACTAATATGAGCTTCTTATAAATAAAGAATCAAGTTATATAAAGTAACAAGTGAGAGCCCTGTCCCCTTCTTGAGGCAACCTCAATTCCTAAAGGTACCAGTTGGGAACATTTACTAGGTTGCCATCCAGCCTTCTGGACAAATTTGCTCATGGGTGTGAGGTTACACTACAGTTGATATAAAAACAACAGAATAGACATATAGTGCTTTTGACATTATAAGGCATTTCCACAAACATAATCCAAACTTCCTAATGACCTTGCTATTATTCCCAATTTATAGATGAAGAAGGAAACTCAGAGAAGATAAGGGGCCTGCCCAACAGTATACAGCTAACAGATCTGAGTCTCAAATCTAATTCTTTCGTCTGTAAAACCTCAAATCGGTTCCCAGAATTAAGTCTTGCCCCTAAGTCCTCTCTTGAGGCTACCACTTGAAGGCACAAATGCTCAAATTTCCCAAAAGACGATGGTTTGGAATAGAAGTGCAATCAATTCGTGAATCTGAGCCACTTTAGCTCCTCACAGATCAGACAAGCTGCAAGCAGAATAACCAGTGCAAAGGGAAAAGAACAAATTTAAGAAAAAACTCAAATCCAAAGTATGCGAAGAGAATACTGAACCAAGGGTTCTGCATGTAGAAGAGCCCTGGTCTCCCTTGTCTCCAGGGTCCCCTTGAGAAGTGAGGAGCTTGCCAGGTCGAACGGGGCCCCAGACTCACATCAGGTCAGGCCGGAAGCGGTGGATGATGGCACACAGGGCCAGACCACTCCTCCAGGATGTGGTCAGGTCGGTGACATTAACATGCTGGTAGCCCTCGGTCTGCTGCTGGCACCAGGTTAAGAGCTTGCTGGGCCGGATGTCTGACTCTGCAGTAGGAGGAGACGGATAGTGGTGAAGTGCTTTGCAGAAATCTCAGCAGCTACCCTGGGGACCCGCTTCATCTGCCACCATGGGTGGGGACCAGGAGGAAAAGTATGAAAGTGAGGGGCTGTGGGCATGGATGCAGCCCCTGTAGGGGTCCTGTTGAGAGCATGCAGGATGCTGGGACAGGAAGCATGGTCTCTTGCAGTAAAGAGTCCCTAAGACCCCTATTCTGTCCAGGTCCTGGTTAGAGGTCAGGAATATAGAAGTAAGGAAGACATGGACTCTGTCAATAGCGCGCTTATCCTGTGGGGAAGACAGGTGCAGAAATGGGTGACAATGGTGGAGAAACCCGATGCCAGGGGAACAGGTTTGCTAGAGCCTGGCAGCACTAGGGAATTCACCTTAGAAAGAGTCATGGAGGACGTTCATATGAGCTGCTTCTAGAAGAGTGTCTAAGGCAGAAGGAGATCTCCGGGGAAGAGACAAGGATGGTGACATGGCAAAGAATCTAGAAAAGGCTGCCACGTTGCGTGAATATGATAAACGTGAAATGGTTTATCGAAGGGCCAGTAGCAGTGGGGCATGTGAATGTGGAGGGCAGCGAGGAGTGGTAGGCAGGACACAAGGTCTGGGCAGCTGGTGCATCTTTAAGCAGGATGGTGACCTGAGCACAGCTGGATGGATGCTGAGAAGTTAGCCATTTAACCCTCCTTTCCTTTTGCATTGAGCACCGGCCTTGTGCCCAGCACTGTGCCAGGCCCCGGAGGACCAGTAAAGGAGCGAAGCATGTGGAGCTTGTTATCTAACTGAGGAGTCAAGACTCCTCAGACTGGAAACAACAGGAAAAGAAAAGCAAGTACCAGGAAGTCATTCCAGTTCACTTTAATGTACCAAGCACTCGCCCCTACTCTACACAGTGATGCCATGGTGGGTATTGTCCTGTCCTGGTTTTACAGGTGAAGAAACTGAGGGGCAGAGATGAGAGGCACCTGGCCAAGGTCACTGCATCAGAACCAGGCTGGCTACAGGGCCTGGGCCCCGCCTGCCACCCACCCGGCCCGCTCCCTGCAGAGTTGGGGTCCCAGGAAGGCCTCTTACCTCGCCTGGAGAGGCCGACGGATCTCCTCACTGAGCCCAGCCTCTCAAGAGGATACTGGTGCAGCTCCTTAGTAATGTACAAATGCTTCACCTAGGGGGAGAGGGAACACAACTGTCTGCCAGTTCTTCCCCAAATCTTAGTCACAGGGCCTCTGAACCCTTTTCCTCTCTCACTGAAGGGCACGACCCTTCAGCAAGGGAATCAGCAATATGATACAGAGCTATGGATCTGTTATCCACCCAAATGTGGGGGAAGTCAAGTGTGAATATAGGTAATTGGCAGATTTTAAAAATTCCTCTGACTGAAGAGGTCAGAGCTTGTGTGACTCGAAGTCAGTGAGAGAAAAAACAGACTCTAGAACTTCAGATGGAAAGGACTTGATATTTGATCAAGTAGATTATTTAAGAGAGCTATGCTCAGCAATGGGCTTCCCTGGTGGCTCAGAAAATACAGAATCTGCCTGCAGTGCAGGAGTGTGTGTGCTAAGTCGCTTCAGTCGTGTCAGACTCTTTGCGACCCCATGGGCTCTAGCCCACCAGGCTCCTCTGTCCATGCGATTCTCCAGGCAAGAATAGTGGACTGGGTTGCCATCCCCTCTTCCAGGGGATATTCCTGACCCAGGGATCAAACACGTATCTCTCATTTATGCCTCCTGAATCAGCAAGAGGGATCTTTAGCACTAGTGCCACTTGGGAAATCCAAATGCAGGACACTGGGGTTCAGTCCCTGGGTCGGGAAGATTCCCTGGAGAAGGAAATGGCTACCCAATCCAGAATTCTTGCCTGGATAATTCCATGGACAAAGGAGCCTGGTGGGATACAGTCCATGTGGTCGCAAAGATTTGGACACGAGTGAGTGACTAACACTTTTCACTTTTCATGTTCAGCAGTGCATGTGCCCAGTGACTAACAAACATGAAAATACATGGACATATGTGGACACACACCTACATGTTCCAGTTCTTTCCTGTGGGCTAAAGATGCTGACTCTACCCTGTGGCTTTCCCAGAGAGAGGAATTGCCCCACCCTTAGGCCAAGAGGCACTGGTGACCTCGGTCCCAGGACTGTGCCAAGATTTTAGGTGACCACCCCTTCCTACCTCTCAGGGCACAGTGGCCCAGACAGGACTCCAGGCAAGGCCTTACCTGATGGGGCCTGACGCAGTTTGAGTTGAGGTTTGGGTACCGTGTCCCCGGGTCTAATGTGTACTGCTCAAAGTTCTTGTTGATGTTCTCTGGGGTCGTTTGAGGTAACAGTCGGTAAAGACTTTCTCTGGAGGGAGGCAGAGCTGGGATCAAAGATTGCTCTTGCAACCTCGGGCCTTCGGTCCCACCCCTTCCCTACACCCCCCTTCCCCTGTTCTCCAGAACTTCTTAGATGTGTTTGCATAACCCTTCCCAGCAATGCCTGGCCCTCCTGGTTCCTGAGATTTACAAAGCGAGGGAGGGTCAACAGGGTTGGGAGGAAGCAGGAGGGAGTATGGGAGGTGGTGGTGCTGGCCTCCTCCCCTGGGCAGAGGACAGGGACTCAGCTGGCAGCCCAGCGACCTGTGGTTTTGCTCTAACTGCCACTCAGCCTCCTGTGGCTGCTCCCCCATGACCACAGGTCTCCACACCCAAGACCAGCCGAGGCCTGTCCCCACCCGCCAGCCCTGACTTTTCCCAGCCCACCAGCTGTCACAGCCACGTGGCCTGCAGCATGGGTCTGGGAGGAAGCCCAGGATCTCAGCAGTGGAAGAGGCCTAGGAGGTCAGAGCACCCAACCCTCAACAGAGTGGGACTCAGCGCTGCAATGGGTGCTTCCCCTAGACCTCTTCTGGCTCCTCAGTGTCTCAGCAGTGCTGAGACCCCCAACTTCAGGGCTGCCCTGAAAGGTGAAGATTTCTCTTTGGCATCCAAGTCTTAAGAGCCTGGCCCCTAGGGAAGTAGATCATGATGGAGGTAGGTCACGATGGAGGACTCCTCGGGGACACCAAAGGTCAAATTGGCCACATGTGGGAAGGCAGGCAGAGCGGGTTAGGGGCTCCAGATTTCAGCCAGCCTTGCTCCCTCTCCTGCCTGAATTTTGACTTGGCCCTGCCTCCAGCTGAGGGTCCTGCTGTCAGTACTCACCTTTCAGCCAGAAGCTCCAGGGGCGAAGTGCCCTGGTCCCAGCTTCTCACCATCCACGCAGTGTCAAAGGCTGCCAGGAAGCCACGGGCACAGCCAGTGCCCATGGGCCAGAATGGCTACAAAGGACACATAACAAAGCTCCAGGTGATTCCAGTGATTCCCAGCCTGACATCCCATTCTATCCAGCACTTGGTGTCTGCCAGGCCCGTGGGAGGCACTGGGAGGACAGAGGCGTGACAGGCACATCAGTGGGATTCGCCACAAACACAAGGAACTGTAGCATAAAGTCTATGCAAGAGTGCTATGGCATGGGACAGCATAACTGCTTTGGGGGCTCAAAAAGGCAGAGGCAAATTCCCACCCCGGGGAGGGAGACAGACAGAATCAAAGAATACTTCATGGAAGAGGTATGTTCATGCCAGTTTTAAAGAATGGATAGGATTCTGATCCTGATCCATTCCAGAACAGAGAGCAAAGGCTTGGTGGTAGGAAAATGACGGAGCCCGATGGAAGAACAGCCTGTCTGGTTTGGGTGCAGCAGAGAGCGTGGGAGGACAGTGCTGAGAGAGAAAGCTGGGAAGTAGGACTGGGACAGCAGCAGAAGCCGTGCTGAGGGCTTACGCAAGGAGCAGAGGTCAGAGTCCGCACCCTGGGATGAACAAGCATGGATTCATGAAGCTAAGCTCTAACTAAACTGCTCCATGTGCACCCAAAGCATGGTTTGAAATTTGATGCTAACGTGGTATACATGCATCAACATTTTTTGGTCAGTGCTTACATTCAGATAAAGATTTCCCCCCCTCCTGAAAGCATTCATTTATTCTAAGAATGTTAGCATCTGCAGATTTTCTGGGAAGAATTTTGAGCAAGGAGGCCATGGACTTTGGGGCCAACACTCCTTTCTTGCTCCTATATGAACTCTATGCTGAAAGTCCACAGAGATCCACAGACTGGAGGAAGAAGTCTCAGGATCTACAAGCTTTAAGAAGGATGGCCTGTGAAGTTAGACCACGGCCACTTAATTTTTTGCTTCAACCGAGAAGCCAGCCCAGAAGAAACCAGAGGGGCAAGGGAAAGTGTTCCTGCCTGTACATAGGCAGAGTTGACTTCTCTGAATTTAGTCAAAGGGTAGGTTCTGAGGCCAGGATGGGTTTGGCAGAATCCTGCCAATTGGCTGAGAGCCTGTCCTTCCCCTGGGCTTCAGGACAGCAGATGCTGCCAGTTAGAAAAGCAATGTGGGGATCTGTCTTCCAGCAGGAAGCAGGGGACTCCAAACGCAGGAGGTACCTCAAGCAAGCTGTCGCCCACGAGGGCCACGAGCAGCTGGTGTGACTGCCGCTCGCGCACCAAGGCTGCATTCTCGGAGGCATACATGGAGGTGAAATCGAACATGGCCACGTCGGGCTGCCCGTAATGGTTCATGGCAAAGTCTAAAGACGGCAGCTGGTAGTTGGTGGCGAAGTCTGCAGCCTCGCGTGCATAGGAAAGCAGGTTGTCCTGGTTCACATTCTCCGCACACAGCAGCATCTCTGTGTCGATATAGTCCTGGAGGAAAGAACAAGAGCACAGCGTAGCAACTTGCCCCTCAAGAGGGCAAGGAGTCATATCCACTTCTTTGCAAAAGGACTTGGAATGGATTTGCAGAAAGACTAATTGAGACAGAACTAGAAAATTGGGGCCCAGGGAACAAAGAGGAACCAAACCAGTCATCTGGAATGTTGAGAGTTATGATTAAGCATCAGATTTGGCTTTGAGCTTCCTGGCATCCAAGGCAAAAGGGAAATGAGATATGTTACAAGTCTTTCCTTATCAGAAAGAAGGAAGCATAGAAATTCCTAGGGGAGGCAATTTTTTTCCTGGCACTAAATTCTAAAAGAACTGTCTGACATAGGAATTTTGACAGAGAGCAGTGTGTTATAACAAACAGTGTAAATAATGGTCCTGCAGAAGTACAGAAGCATATGTCATACGGCTGGTTCTCCTGATAACGTTCAATGAAACGAAAAGACAAAAAAGCAAGTGAGTAGGAGTGATTTTACAATGGACTAAGCTAAGCTAATGTGGTCCAGAAATGCTGTGGCTAGTGTTCAAACAAGTCCGAAAAAGAAACGGGTAATTGGCATAACTCTCAAACTTTCCCTGCAAGATGAGTTACCCCTTTTCTCAAGAGGCTAAGGGCTCCTCAGGGCCCTGCCTTGATCGCACAGTGTTAATGTTGCACTTTCCCACTGGGAGGTAGAGAGCCCTGAGCTTAGAGGACTAGGATAGCCACCCTGGAGGGACACTGGCGATGATCTCTAGGACACCTTCCAGAGCCAAATCTGCTCATAGTGTGGCTACAGAAACTAAAAGACCACCTTTCCCAAAAGGTGACACAGAACATGCAAACCCCTTGGGGCGGGGGGCCAAGGACAAGTGTATAAGACTAACACGGGCCTTGCGTCAGTGAGATCAACAGGTCAAATTCCATCTCTGTTTATTGATTGCATTGACTGTAAATTTGGGCAAGTTATTGAACTTTTTTGAGCTTCTGTATTCTCATTTGTAAAATTTGAGTTTGCAAAATGAAATGAACAAAATCTACTCCACAGAATCATGTGAGAACTGAATGAGACTGCGTACATGGCTCCCTAGCCCAGGGCCTAGGAATTGGGAAGTTTACAGTGACTGAGATTCCAATCTAGATTAAGTAACAATGGCCAAACCGTAGTATGTGCTGAAGTGCATCCCGGACACCCCAAGAGTAACAAACAGCAAGAGCATTTACAAAGGTCTTAGATGGCACAGCCTCAACCACAAACAGAGACCTACAGTGCCAATTTTCCCAACAGTCATGATTTCCCCCAAATTCCAGTATTTCCACATCCAAACCACGTCCACTAAATGGAACCCAGCGTTGGCCCAAGAGCCCTTTGTTGTGTCACAGCTGGAGCTCTTGTAACTCGCTTTCCTTTCTCATACCTATTCTTACATCACAAGATCACTCTCCTGCCTGAGGGTGTGGGAGAGTAAATGGAGAAATCTCAAAAATATCCCCTCTTCAAAACGTGCCACAAGCACTGCTATGGAGGACTGGGTGACAGATGAATGTGGACACTGTAGGATGAAGGTGGTGCCCGGTGCTGATGCCACATGCAAGACTGTGGGGGCGGACCCCCACTGTGCTGGGATGACAGCCACCTCCCCCAGGGCTGCTGGGAGGAGCCAAGGGGTCTTGCTGTGCTGGAGGTCCCAGGTGAGAGGGTGGATGGTAGAACAGACTTGTAGGAAACAGGCGAGTACAAGGATGAAAGAAAAAAGTGGGAACGGGGCTATAAGAAAGAGGGTAGAGCCAAGGAAGGAGCGCTAAATGAAAATACAGGCAGGAGGTAAATTTGGGCCTTATTTTGCACAGGCCTAGGGAAGAGAAGTTGGGTCCTAGATGGAGGTGGGGAGGGAGAGAGGGAAGCAGGAAACATGAGAGAAGAGTGGGGAATCCAACAGGAAGAATAGTTACCCCAAGGTGTGGAGGCGGAAGGAGGCTGTAGACCAGAAAAGAAGGTTAGGTAACACCTGTTCACTGCTTCAAATGAGGGCGGATTCAGCACAGGGAGACCAACTGTGATGTGCATCTGTCCACCTCACACTCCTGGCCACCAAGCTCCCTTCTACTGGGGTTAAGACCAAGCCTGCATGTTCATGGGCCAGCAGAGGCAGGGGCCTGGAGGGACAGATGCAGCTCAGAGCCCAGAGGCAGGGCTCCTATAGGAGAAACTTTACCCTCCCTTCGGTAGTCATAGAAAAAGGCCCAGAGATCAGCAGGAATAGATGGGGAAGCAGGTCAGTCAGTCATTCAACAAACATTCGCTCAACACATTATGTATCTCAAGGAAGATGCTGGCCCATGTAGACACAGGAAAACAGGATTTGCCATTCCTCTGGGAGCAAGTGAAGGATGGAAACTTAAGTAGATTGGGGTAGACAGGTCGGGTCTCAGCTTGTGCAGATACTATAGAGCTTGGCTGGACACCTGGAGACTCCACACAAGGCCTCTGAACCAAATGGTGTCTAGTTTGCCCATGTCCAGTCTGGCTTCCAATTTCTAGAGTTCATGTCTTATACCTCAAGGACCCTCTGCACCAGCTCAGATGATGCTCCCAGATTCTCTGAGGCAGAAGGAAGGCCTTGATGGGGACAACCATGGGCCCTCAGCTCCTGCAGTAATTATGGGACCAAAGCTCGAAGTTCCCACCCACCTGTGCCATGGCACAGAGCCTGAGGGGAGCATGGAGGGGCTTTGGCAATGCCAAAAAATCAAGTCACCACGAGCAACATGTTGTGGCCAGGACAAATACCCTGGGATGACCAGGAGGAGCCTCAGCATCCCAGAAGGCCAGAGTTCTCAGCCAGTGACACAGGAGCCCTAATTCAAACTTGGCTTGACTCCTCAGAGATGGGCTAAGAAGAACATCTGTAGCTCCTTCCAAGCTAAGGTACCCAGCTTACCTGCACCCTGGGCCCTAAATAGTCCTTTACTATCTGACACAGGCATCCCAATGGGGGACGTAATTTTGGTAGGCACATCTGTAGAGCAGAGGGAAAAAGGGGGCACGGCCTTACCTCCCCCAGACCGGGTCAGCAGTGGGGCACCAGATGTTGAAACCCACATCTGCTGATTGGGCTAAGTTGGCTTCATTCACCCCACCCCCCTCCCATTCCCAGCCTCTTGTCCAGCGACTCAGGCTCTCAGCAAAGCCCTGAGCTGATGCAGAGGAGGCCCAGGGGAGGGCTGGGTTACTAAAGCTGCCCAGCCGGCTGCCAACACAAACTGGCATGAGGCTAGGCGCATTCTTCTCTGACAAGCGTCAATGAATGGTCACCATGCTGTCTGGGCTACAGGCCGACACCCTGAGAGCAGACTGACCCTGGATTGCACGATCCTTATCTTAAGGCCACAGCAGCAGTGGCGGCAGCAACCAGGGCTCTGGAAGGGTTGAACCCTGACCAAAGAAGCTGTCAGCCCAGGGCCGGTCACTCCATGTGCTCTTTCCTTGCAGCCGTGCTCTCTGTATAAGCAGGAAGGTGCAAAAGCAGGAAACAGGGGCCAGGAAGAACAGCAGGACAAAAGAGCAGGTGTCCAAACCAGGCAGAGAAGTTATGGAGGGAATCTACAAACCTGGAACATGTCAAGTGCTCTGCATACAGTTTACAATGTATTCCTCTGAACAATCCTTTTAGATAGAACCTATTATTCCTATTCTGCAGATGAGAAGACTGAGGCTCAGAGAAGACAAGCAGCTTAGTCATAGTCCTGAGTTAATACATGGCAGAGCCAAGATTCAACTTGAGTCTTCTTGACTGCAATAAAGCTTTCCCCCAGACATGACAATGGGGCCACAATGTGAAATTCACAAGTAAATGTGCGCATGTCCCACTAGGACAAGGAACCACCATCTGCCTCCAAATTACATGTGACAGCCCAGAAAAGGAGGAAGGGATAAATGAGACACGTGGTAAAGACCCTCACTAACACCTGGGTGAGAATCTTAGCAACCCCCCAGTCCAGCTCTCTGCAGAAACACCCCTGCCTCTTATTGTTAGTGTGGGCTCCTCCATCCAACATTCATGTGCCACCAAGGAGGACTTGGTGAGGGGGTGGTCCCTTCCTCTACAGTCCGTCTTCCCCCCACCCCAACTCAGATTCTGGCAGAATAACATCTGCTCCCACATTCGCTGATGCTGTCAGACCAGGTCCCAAAGGGAAAGACAGGATGGATACACAGCCAGGAGATAAGAGATACATACATTAATGATGACACCTTTGTCAAGCAAGCTCTGCTTCTTGGCAGTCATGACAAAATAGTGGGTGCAGTCCTTATAGTAAACAATGTTCTCTAGATCAATCCCTGAAAAGAGAAGATTATGGACACAGTATTACTTCTTCAGTGCCCACCGTGTGTTAGGAGTCTCATTGCTTTGTCTCATTATAGGTCTCATTATTTATCTGCAAAATATTTGTGTTAGACAAATTTTGAAGATATACAAGGCTGGCAAAGATAAAGTCAAGTGCCGGAATTTACCCAAGTCAACACAGCCTTCATAGTCCCACAAAGATACTATTTTCTATTTAAATTGAGGTATAACTTTGTGCAGGTTTAAGGTGTTCAACATACTGATTTGATGCATTTACATAATGCAATACGATTAAGCCTCTATTTCTTTTAAAACTCACAAAGCTCTTCGGGGCTGCAGACCAGTATTTCCAAGTCAGAGCTGAGCACATGCTGCAGAAAGGCACAGTGCTGTCCATGGCATGGCAGTTAAGTGGCAACAGAACCAGGACTTGAACCATAGTCTGTCTGAAACCAAGTCCCGTCCACTGTTTCCTCCATGAGAACAGAGATGCAGGAGCTATGTGAATTCTCCAAAGACTAAGAGACATTTCTACCATCCTCCTGTTACCTGTGAAAACCCAGGTGGTTCTGGTAGAGCAATTCAGAGGACTGGGTTGTATCTTTTTGTACTTCCCACCAACTGCGAAAGACTTTTTAGACTAGGTTTCTCCATTTAAAACAATGCCATAAAATAACAACTTAGCTCAGTGTTTCTCAAAGTAGGATCTCTAGCCAGGAGCAGCAGCAGCAGCATCTGAAAATGTATTAATGCAAACAACGAGGGCCTGACCCCAGCCTACAGAATGGGAAACTCTGGGGGTCTGGCCAGCAATCTGTGCTTGAAGAAGCCTTACAGGTGATTCTGATTCACCCTCAAGTTTGAGAACCACTGGTGTGGCTTCTTAGGAGAAAAAGGAACAGGTTTAAGGCAACTTAGCAGTTATCACAGAGGCGTGCTGGGTAACCATGGAAACCCCTTTATTACCGTTAAATAGGAAACAGCCATCCATGCGTAGGGCCCCCCAGAGGATCCAGGAAATTCACTGCTGTCACTCTGTGAGGGCATTGTTGTCGAAAAACGGCCAAAGGTGACGACCGCAACAAAGTGTAAAGGAAGCTCATTGAAATATTTGGAAAAACACACTCAACATCCTGTCATACTTTATATTTGGTGGTTTGTTTATTGTCTTGGTTTTTGAGGGGAAGGGAGGGCTGGAGAATTCGTAAATCATTCAAAAGGGCATAATACGCTGGAAGGAAATATTAAAAAAAAAAAATGCCACCGTGGTGATACTCAGAAGGTCATGCAGTGGACACACATCACTGTGGACAGTGATAGGCAGAGTCTGGCTCAATAACTAATCCCATTCCTAGAAAAGTACCTTACTGAAATAATCCAACAGCAGTTTTATCAGTAACAGTAAATAACTGAAAAGTTTGAATCAGAAGTCTGCAAACTTACCGTAAAGGGCCAGAGAGTAAATATTTTGGCTTTGAGGGCTATCCGGTCTATGTTGCAAGCCCTCATGGCACCAAGGTAAACAAACTGGCCTGGCTGCATTCTAATAAACTTCTATTGATGGACAATGAAGCTTGAATTCATAAATTTTTAATTTTTCCTTTAAATTTCTTCTTTTGCTATTTCTGCAGCCATTCAAAAAATATCAAAATCATTTTTAGGTTGAAGGCAATACAAAAATGCATGGCAAGTCATGGTTAGCCAACCCCTGGTTTAAATGCTTCAGCAGTGAGTGACAATAAATTCACTGCATGAGCTATTCCAAACAAACCTGACCGTCAGGAGGACTGGGCACAATGGGCAACATTTGAAATGTGATGCTGAATTAGAAAAGCAGAATAACAGTACTGACACTATGGTGAGAGCTCCAGCCATGTAAAAAGTAAGGATGCCAGTGGAGAATTACCGAAAAAGACTACATGACAATGATTGTTACTTTCTGGGTGTTAATGATTTATTTTTAGTACAAAAGTTTTATTTAACATTGTTACACTGCCTTTTCAAGGAGAAATATATATATTTCAAAGTCAGGTTAAAAAGAAAGGGAAAAAAATCTGAATTTTACTCAATTGGGAACAGGAGTTTCACCCTTCTCCCTCAGCCTGCATCATTTTTTCTCCACTATACTTACAGACCACCTGACATGTTAGTAATTGATTTGCCTGTTGATGCTCACCCCCACCCCCACAACACCTATGGAATATAAACTCCAAAAGAGGGATTTTTGTTTGTTTTGCCCACTGCTCTATCTCATGCTCTTGGGAAATGGATGGTAGGTGTTCAATAAATATTTGTTGAGGAAATGAATGAGTCCTTTCTTCAAGTCCCAGGTTGAGAGACAACCAATGCCCTTGGGTGTTGTGACCCACCCTCCACATCCCTGACCATCCCTGGAGGGAAGGTCAGCTAGCACACAGATAAAAGCACCTATGCCTCTTTCTGGACCACACACAGGTTTCTGGTTCCCCACCAGAGTGCTCCTGGAACCCCACACTGCCTTAGGGCACAGATTTACCAGCCTGTGTCAGGATGCTTTATGTGGCTGTCTCTCCCCGGACAAGGAGCCACTACTGGGAGGAGACCATGTCCACCTCAACTGTGTAGCCCATGAAATTGAGTGCAAACTCCAGGAGATGGTAAGAAACAGAGAGGGCTGGAATGGTACCGTCCATGGGGTTGCAAAGAGTCAGACGTGACTCGGTGACTGAACAACAACAAATATGACAGGCAATCAGTAAATGTCTCCTGAGTATAGATGGCTAAATAAATAAATGGTTATCTATTTTCATGTACAACATCTAGAAATTTCCCTCAAGAATCCTTTCTGTCCCTGAAGGAATTCTGTCCATTATTATCCCAAAGAGAAACCCCTCCTTCCACTTTACCAGAGTGAGTCTCTCAGTCCCCTGAATTCTGTCCATTATTATCCCAAAGAGAAACCCCTCCTTCCACTTTACCAGAGTGAGTCTCTCAGTCCCAAGAGATAGGAAAGCCAAGTGCTCGCACCCCTCCCCATTCCACCCTACTCCAACCCCTATACAGAACAGAGAAGCATGAACAATAGCCTGGATTGGAGAAAGGTGAAGGTCCCACCTGTTTCTTCTTTAAGATCCTGAAAAAATTTCTGATTGAAGATGAAAGCCACGCCGCTAATCTCTTCCACCTTGGCCTCAGCCGTGCTGTTTCTGTTGATGAAGTTGGCAGTGATTGCGATAGCCAGCTTCCCACGGAATTCTTTTCTTCTGAACCCTGTGTGAGGAAAAGGGGAAAAGTCAGTCTTTCTTCTGGATTTGATGTGAAAGCTGGGAAAGGTTACTGAGAAAGCTACTCTCAGATGACCCATGGGACAGTGAAACCAGAATTTTTGATCTAGAGTATAGAGGCAGACAGAAATGCTAAGGTTTGTCCCTGAGAAAGAAACCCATTGGAGGCCTTTCTCAGTGGGACTTTTTCCTTCCCCCAAATCTCTAGGACCAATTATTCTGGTTAGGCTTCCAAAACAACAGTGTGCTTCTCCAGTGGACAATCGCAGGGCTCATCCTTTAGAACAGGGGTCCCCGACCTCTGGGATCTAATGCCTGATGATCTGAGGTAGAGTTGATATAATAATAGAAATAAAGTGCACAATAAATGTAGTGCCCTAGAACCATCCTGAAACCACCCCCGCCACCACCCATGGAAAGATTATCTTTAGAAGAAGCAGATACAGACATTGCTACAAGGTAGTCTCATGAAAGACCCACATGCAATTTAAACTTACACAATTAAAACTACTGTGTTAGCACTTTTCATGTTTTTCCCCATTTGCTAAGTAGAATTATGAGCTTGAATTCCTGTGGAACAGAGATTTTTAACAGATTCTCTTTCAGTCTCCAGTCCGGGTGACTGGCATTTAGTACTCAATATATGTATAATGGGTAGATGGAATTCCAACTTGCAATTGTTTTAGTTCAGTGACTAATTGAGGTTCTTACAGTTTTCAATGGTGTACATTGAAATCACTTTTTTAATGGCTGTAAGAATTCTGCACTCAATTACAATGTGTTTTTGTTGTTGTTGTTCCTTTTCCCTCACACGCCAACCAGCAATTTCAGGATAGTGGTGGTGTGTCCTACACTTCAACTCAATTCTGACACTACCTACATGGAGATAACATCAGATCCCACAGGTTAAGAGCTCAGTCCCACTGACAGTCCTCTATCTCAGATGCCAGTTATAAGCCCTTGTTGTCACCAATGCTTCTGACTAACCAGCTCTAGACTGTATGTTCAAGAATGCCCTCCTGGGTTTGATTAATTTTCTAAAGTGGCTTTCAGAACTCAGAGAATATCTTACTAAATAACTCAGGATCAGCCAGGTGGAAGAGATGCTCAGGGCAAGGTGTAGGGAAAGCTAGAGCTTTGACACCCTCTCCAAGCATGCTACTGCTCTCTGCAAACCTTCACCTGTTCACCAACCCAGAAGCTCTCGACACGCTTTCCTTTGGGGTTTTTTTTTTTTTTTTGGAGGCTTTATTCCAGACACCTGAGTGATTAAATCACTGGTCACTGAGCTCCATCTCTAGCCCCTCTCCCCTCCCATGAGGTCAGGGGATAGGATTAAAATTTCCAACCCTCTAATCATTTTTTTGGCTCCCTGGGCAACCAGTCCCCTCCCTTTCTTAGGTGCTTTAGAAAACTCACTTCATTAACATATACTCAGATGTGGTGGAAAGGAGCTTGTTATGAATAACAACACAGCCATTTCACATTTATGGCTCTGAAATGTTTTCAGGAACCACAGACAAATATAACAAAATATACTCCTCTTGCTCTTATCACTCAGGAAATTCCAAAGTTTTGGGGTGCTGTGCCAGAAAGGGGACAAAGACCCAGATATATTTGCCTTATTATAAATCACAATATCACAGGCGATTACACACAGGATCACCAACAGATGGTCCCATTAAATAGACCTTCTAATCCCCTTACTTTTTAGCATCTATCTTTTCCTGCAGTCCTGAATTTCCTTTCCACCCCAGCCCCAGGTACTGACTGCAGTTTACTTAGCTTAACTCAAGGCATTTGTCTTGCTAGCAGACAAAACCACTGTCTTCAGCACCAGTGGGGATTCCCCTCCTCTTTGCATATGCTAAGCCTCATGCTAATGTAAATCGCTCCAGTCCTATTCAACTCTTTATGACCCTATGGACTGTAGCCCTCCAGGCTCCTTTATGCAGCAGATTCTCCAAGCCAGAATACTGGAGTGGAGTTGCCATACCCTCCTACAGGGGATCTTCCCAAGCCAGGGATCAAACCTGTATCTCCTGCATTGGCAGGCAGGTTCTCTACCTGCACAGTGATTCCCAACTTCTTTGCCAAAAATCTCTTTGACTAAAAATCTTGAGTTTCTGTTCAACACTCCTTCATTTTGGTTCTTCATAAACTAACTGTACAATATTCAGGTTGGCAGCTTAAACATTTTTTAATTGATATCCAATATTGATTGCTTGGGGTGGGGGAGTGGGTGCGGAAATGAAGAGAGAGGAAAGGAGCAGCACTGTGCAGTAGGTGGGGAGGGCCTTGGCTAGGAGGACTGCACTTCTGAGGTCTGGCAGATCAACCCTAGCTCGGGGAGGGTGTTCTGTCCTCAGTGAAGGTGCCCTCCCCGGCAGACATCTGCAGGCTGTAGCCTTTGAGCAAGGCAAGCTTGAAAAACAGACCTGTCCTCAGCCCAAGAGATGCCATGTGGGACCAGTTGGTCTTCAAACCAGGGTCCTAACAGATTCTAGATTCTTCCCTAAAAAACGTGTTATGCTTCCAAACTTAGAAGCAGAGAGGTGTGGCTTTATTCCTTGACAGTTTGGGCTAAACTTATCTTACTACCCAGCAGTAAGCATGTTGTAAAGTTATGAGAAGAGATGAGGTTCTCCTTCTAGCGTATTATACTTCACAGTAAACCAATACCATCAACAGTATAAAATGATCCTCTTAGTTGGAAGTATGAAAGTACTTAGCACCCTGGCTTGCACACTAGCAGGTGTTCAATAAATGTATATTGATTTTTTCTTTTAATTTCCGTTGTGCTTAACCTTTAAAAAGCATTGTTACATATGAGTCTTAGACCAGTCCTTATAGCAATGTTCTGAAAGGTCCTACTATTCACAAATTACAGAGCTTCAGAGAGAATTAAATGGTTTTCTCTAAATGCTTAGCCCCTAGCAGAGCAGGGCAGTTTGCCCTTCTATCAAGACCCCCAATCCAGCTTTGGCACCTACCATCTTACACCCATTCTCCACGACTTTCCTGATACACCCTTTCCCACTCCCATTCCTCCATCCTCAGCCCCAAGAAGAGCCATCACCTTCCAGCGTGTTCCTGCGGCCATCCGCGCCAATGATGACATCAAACTCAAATTCCGACAGAGAGTGATCTGAAGGGAGAAATTCTGCCCGCCAGCCAATTTCTGCCAGGACAGAAAAATGAGATGAGCTGGCAGTGAGCGATGGGAGGACAGAGTGATTACATGCCCCGCTGTGTTGGCCATGAGAAATGGACAATGCCACCAGGTACAGGCACCCCAGGCAGAAGCTCCAAAGCAAAGACCCAGACTCTCCAGATTCACACTTGAACTTGGAGTCCTTCTGGCTTAGCTTCAGTTCAGTCCAGGAAGAGGTAAACCAGCAGTGCCAATTCCATGCCTGGTTTTACTGGTCTCTATAAAGGCTGGGAGTCTATGAAACAATTTTCAGGTGAAATCTTGCTGGTTACCCATAATTAGGATTTAACACCCACTAGGGATCTGGGAGGGTTTCTCTGGTAGCTTAGCTGGTAAAGAGTCTGCCTGCAGTTCAGGATACCCCAAATTGACTCCTAGATTGGGAAGATCCCCTGGAGAAGGGACAGGCTACCCACTCCAGTAATCTTGGGCTTCCCTGGAGGCTCAGAAGGTAAAGCATCTGTCTGCAATGCGGGAGACCTGGGTTTGATCCCTGGGTTGGGAAGATCCCTGGGTCGGTTTGATACCCTGGAAAGGGTATGGCAACCCACTCCAGTATTCTTGCCTGGAGAATCCCCATGGACAGAGGAGCCTGGCGGGCTACAGTCCATGGTGTTGCAAAGAGTCAGAAACAACTGAGCAAGTAAGCACAGCACAGCACACAGGGATCTGGGAAAGGTTAAGAGCACACAGGTCTCAAAGTCAAATTACCATGTTGTCCTGTCACAAGAGCCAACTAATGTCTCCCCTAAAATGTCAATATTCTGGGCAAAGGACAGGAGAAATCAGGATTGTAACCTGTGTATGAAACTACAAGGTCTCTGACACAAAACTCGACCCAAAATTGAAAGCCCTGTCCAGCAGCAGAAGAGTTTGATATTAACATATAGAGGCATCGTGAACAAACTCTGGCCATGGTGAATATAAAAGATCAGAATTTTTATAAAATACTAAAAGGAACAAGAGAAAAATTATTCAATATGACATACCTAAAATGGATGAATTTTATGATTCATAAATTATTTTTCAATAAAGCTTAAAAATATTATAGGCCAAATAATATTTCAAACATTTCACATTTGCTCTCAAAACTTTATTTTTCTTTACTAGATTTTTAAAATATCATACAGGTACAGTAAGTATATCCACATATCTGTGTGTGTACACACAGCTTGAAGAGCATGTGGATGAATTTTATCAGATAACCAAATCTGTTTTCTTTCCTATGTACTACTTAGACTTCATCTGTCCAAGTACTGCCTCCTAGTGACAGGGTAACCAAATTACAGGTTTAGTGTGTGTGTGGTGTGTGTGTGTGTGTGTGTGTGTGTGTGTGTGTGCATGCGCGCGCATTCAGCTATGTCTGACTCTGCAACCCCATGGACTGTAGGCCACCAAACTCCTCTGCCCATGGGATATTTCAGGCAAGAATACTGGAGCAGGTTGCCATTTCCTACTCCAGGGGACTTCCCCTACCCAGAGATCAAACTCATGTCTCTAATATATCTGCTGGGAGCTGAAGAACAAACCTAAAGTGACAGCAATGGTCCAAAACAGTAAAATATCCTTTGATGGAATTATGTCAAACAGCCCCAGAATAATTCTAACGAATCATCCTCTGGGAGTTGCAAATGTTGTTTCCATTTCACAATATCTGATTTCTAGACCAAAAGGAAAATTATACTGTACTTTGATTTTCTTGATCTTCAGGAGGCTCTAGAACCTTCACAAACTCCACATTCACATGGATTTCAACCCCCAATATCAAGGCCACCTTGAATAGGATGAGCTGCAACTGACGAATACCTGTTAGAAAGGAAGTTAAAAGAGATGAACCGTCATGAACAATGTCTCAGTGCCTCTTGTATGCAGAACACTATCTAATTACCACATGATTTCTGAGCATAATGATATAGAGGCATACCTCATTTTATTGCATTTTGCTTTATTGCACTTTCTAGATATTATGTTTTTTACAAACTGAAGGTCTGTGGCAACCCTGCATCAAGCAAGTCGACTTGTGTCATTTTTCCAACAGCATCTGCTCCTTTTGTGTCTCTGTGTCACATTTTGGCAATTCTAGAAATACTTCAAACTTTTTCATTATTATTATATTTATTATGGTGATCTGTGATCAGTGACTTTTGATGTTTACTATTACAAAAAGCTTACAACTCACTGAAGGCTCAGATCATGTTTAGCATTTTTTTTTAGCAATAAAGTATTTTTAAATTCAGGCATTTACATTGCTTTTTTATAGCTAATTCCATATGCATATACACTAGATAGACTACAGTATAGTGTGAACATCACTTTTACATGCACCATGATTCATGTAACTTGCTTTTTTCAATATTTGCTTTGTTGTGATGGTCTAGAACCAAACCTGCAATTTCTCCAGGGTATGCCTGTACCAATAATGATCATTACTGAGCACTAATTATGTGCCAATCACCCTGTGTTCTCTCATTTAACCCTTCCAGTGGCCCTTTGGGATAATTACTCTTGTTTCAGAGGTGAGAAATTGAGGCTCAATAGGACTACGTGACTTGCTCAGGCTCACACAGGAGCAAAACTGGAATGTGGATCCAGATCCGTCTGATTCCAAGACTGTGCTCTAGCTGTCAGGTGGGCGACACCCACTATCATGAGGGTGACCCTCTTTTCTGCTCCTTCCTGAGCTGGGCTGTGGGTTTGACAGGACGAAGATGGAAAGAGAAGTAAGCAGAGAGCGAGTGAAGAGTGAATACGTACAGTCAGAGAGTAAACGGCTTACTCCGCCTAAGCTCTCAGCCATCCCTGGTACTGGGTGGAGTGGGGAATCCTCCCCACAAAGCTAGACTCATGGTTTCCACCTCCTACCCACTCTCCCAAACTCTCCCAATGAGTGGCTCTTTGTTTTTCCATTTGTCCCTGCCACTGAGCACAAATGGGCATGCCTCCAAATACATTTCTGAGAGCACACAGTCTCAGATTACCTGTGGGCCCCTCTGCGTTCTGTGGGCGTCACTCACTGAACACGCGTTGGACATCTGGCAGCAGGCAGCGCCACCCAGGCCCAGGAGATGTGGGACCCCATCGGGTGGAGGAAGCACGGGGAAACAGAATGGGGCAGGGCCTGGGGCTCAGGGGCAGCGGGGCGGCAGAACGGGGTCTGAGCGGCAGGCCTGAGACCCAAGGGAGAAGGGAGCAAGAGTACTGGGTCCTGGGGAGAGATCAAGAGTAGGAAGACTGCAGGAGGCCAGGGCACAGGAGTCAGGGAAGCTTCTGGAGAGAATCCCTTTAGCACAGTACTGGGGAGAAATCAGACCACAGTGGAAGCCGGCACGAGTGGAAAGTGGAGGCAAAGTCTATGTCCCCTCTTTCTAGGATGAGTACTTTGAGGTAAAGAAAAGTAATGGCCTCTATCAGAGGCCTGGAGGGGCTGAGTGAGGCAAAGGCAGGGGAAAAGGAGAGGAGGAAACCGCGAGCATCTAGGCTTGGAGAAGAAGTGACCAGTTCTGCCTCTGACTTCGGGGTGAGAGGCAGGAGTGGGCACTTGGGGAGAGGGGAGTGCAGGAGGAGGGAGGAGAGGGACTGGCGGGGGGCGCTCCCACTAGTGGCTTCTCTTCTGCAGAGCATCGGAGGGAAGCAGATGGGCGGAGGCCATCTGCTCAGAATGAGGAGGCTGTGGTGGAGGCCTGGGACGGCCACGGTGGGAACTGGAGGAGGATGCTGACACAGGACCAGCAGAAAATTGCTGAGCAAAGCTGAAGACCAGGTCACAGCTGGGGCTGGAGACCATGGCCAGTTTGAAAGGAAGCCAATCAGCTGGTGCTCAAAGAATCCATGCCAGTAAATAGGCCATGGGGGCGGGAGACTTCTCCTCATGGTTTCAAGGTTCCTAGTCTATCTGGTTTCGGCACCCAGTAGGTCCTCAATAAAGTCTCCCTGCCTCCCTTCTCACAGGTATTAGAGCTGCCCTTGACAACAATCACTCTGAACTTGGAATCTCAGTTTCAGAGTCCTGCCCGTGTTTCCACACACAAGAACCAGGGGTTAAGTGGGGGCCCCATCAATGGGGCAGTGAGGGGCCCCCTTGCTAGAAAGGCAGCCTGGCAGTCCTGAGACCTCTTGAGGCCTCCTGGTGACCAGCTCTGCCTCTCAGGAAGGCTCGGTGGGAAAGTGGTGTTTAATGTTGTCATTCTAAATTGGTACCAACATACATTCTTCCGTGGGTGGTAAGGAATATCCGGAAAGCTGACACTGCAGCCTTCTGGGCAAATCCAAATTTCTTTCCAATGGACTCTTGGGATTTTCTCATCCCAGGGCAGGAACAAACCCTGGGCCACTGCTGGTAAGGTCTCCTGTATCTGACTAAATTACACCCTGTCTGGCTGATAATTCTCTCCAGTTGTTCTCGCCCCAGCCCCACACCCCTTTCCCATCAGTGCCTGTCCTCGTAAAAGCATGGGTCTCAGGGTTCCCCTTCCACTCACTGGTTGGAGATTGCAGCCCTGAATTTATTTGAATTTGGGGATCCCGGCTGCCTCTTGCTCACTGTACCCCACTGGATGCAAAGCGCTTCCTGAACACCTAGACCAGCCAGGCACAGTGATAAGCACATTTCAAACATGACCTCATTTAATCCTCTCAGCTCTCTTGGTAAGCAGGCATTGATCATATTTAGGGGAAACAAAAGTGGGGCTGGAGGAAGGTGAGAAATCTGACCCAAGTCACACAGAAGATGGACCCAAATCTATTCAAACCCTTGAACTCTCCCCACAATAGTAACTCCCCTGACTTTTACGAGTTATGATTGCTGTATATAAAATGACTAAAGGCTCCTTCCCTGGTGGTCCAGTGGTTAAGACTCCAGGTTCCCAATGCTGTGGGCCCGGGTTTGATCTCTGGTCAGGGAACTAGATCTCACATGCCACAGTTACAGATCCTGAGTGATGTAAGTAACTGGTACAGCCAAATGAATTTTAAAAAAAAGAAAAAAAAAAAAAGACCTCTTTCCTATAAAGCATGAGGAGGAGGGAGGGGCTTCTCTCCCAAAGCCTGCCTGCACAGAACTCACCTCGAGAGACCCAGGCCTAAGTAACACCAGCGCAGGAGGTGCCTCAGTGCTCACTTCACCCTACTAAGCATTCAGGGATGGCCCGGGACCCAAAATCCACCTTCCCAATCCCCCTCCTTTTCTGGATGGACCCCCTACAGGATGGCCTCTCCCTTTCTAAAGCTCAAGGCAATCTGGTACAGGATGTGTCAACTGTGTCATCTCTCTGCCCTAAATCCTTCCCCGCTCCCCAGACTGGCAACTCCATGTCCCAACTTGCACTAACCAAGAGACCCCCTGACAATCTGGCCCACTGGGTGGTTTTACGCAACTCCCTCTTCTAAGTGCCTCTGGCAAGTCTGATTATTCTATTACAGCACAATTTATTGTTGACAAAATCTCAGTGATTTCCCCAAGAGTGTAAACGATATGACTCACCTCTGCCTCTGTTAACCATATTTCGTTCACTCATTCATTCAACGGAAGTGCATTGAGCATCTACTATGTGTCAGGCACCATTTTGTGCCCTAAAGATACTGTGGTAAGACATACCATGGTCCCTGGCCTCATGGTGCTTCCAGTCTAGTGGGCACAGCACAGGGTCTGGCACTAAATGTCTGTCGGTTGGATGTGAGGGGCCCCCAGAGACTTGCAAGATGGAATATCCTGGGGATTCCACAATGTGGAGAAATACCCCACCCCAGGTCAGCCCCTTCCCCACATGGGGTGCCACCTCTGGCTCCACTCACTGATATGGTCGATGGAGCCGGCACAAAACTTCCCATAGAACTTCTTGGCTCCCAGGCCTCGCAGGTCATGGATGGTGAAAGGCCAGAGGTGCAACACGTTGTTCCGGGAGAAGGTGTCCCTCTTCTCCACCACGACCACTTTGGCCCCCAGGTAGGCAAGTTCAATGGCAGTGCGCAGACCACACGGTCCTCCCCCAATGATGAGACACTGAAGAGGGGAGAGAGAGGAGAGACACTCAGTGGCCTCTAGCCTTGTGGACAGAACTTCTTCCCCAGTCAGCAGTGTAACTGGGGAGCAAACCCACATGCACCCATATTAACCAGTGAGTGCAAATTGAACACTTACTAGGACCCGCCATTCATACATCCCATGTACATTACCTGTGGGTTTACCCCACACCAATCACTGTGCCAAATCCCATGAAGAATGCAGAGTCCATGAAGGACTCAGGGAAGGCACAGTAAGATACAGGTGAGGTTCAGAGTTAAACTGAACTGGGCTTAAATCCCAGCTCCGGCATTTAACCTGTTAGTTCAGGTGGAAGGAGAGGAGGATACTTGAGGGGAAAGGAGAGAAAGGAGACAAGGATTCATCTGGAACTAGATGCTGAGAGCCTGCAAAGTGAAGCAAAGGGGTATGGTCATGGTCCTGAAGGCACTGGGACTGTGGGCAGAAGTGACAGGAACAGGATTCTGTTCCAGTCCTCAACTAGGTCTCAAGGGATCCTGCAACAGTGAACAAGACAAGGGTCCTTCCCCAAGAAAGCTACAGCCATTTAGGAAAGAAGAGAAGACACATAATGACCTAACCAACTACTTATACTGGGGAAAAGCCCTTCTATTCAAATAAAATCTTACAAGCATCACTGCTCCAAAAACACCAGGAAAGTGGCGGTCGGTATTCTGGCTGACAGACCCTTCTCGCAGCAGCCCACCCTGTCCCCTAGACAGGTCCCGCAGCACCTTTAAGAGGCAAGCGTTCAACTTGGGACGGGGGTCTAACTAACTGGGGATACCCCCCAGAGTCACAGAGAAGGGGATCTGCACCCACACATCACTGCTTGACACCACACAGGCATCTGGAAACATCCCTTCTGCTCGGGATCAAACCTTATCTTAAAAAAAAAAAAGCATTCCCCTTCCCCTAGCAAGTGTTCCATCATCCAGTTATCACTCATCTGGGGCCTCCAGACTCCCAAAGGGAAACTGCAAATAAGCATATCAGAAGCTCCCACACCACAATCAGTGTGGCTTACTCGCTGGAACCGTCCAGAGAGTTTGTGGAAACTCTGTTAGAGGAAATGAAGTCACCAATGAGATACAATTCACTCCAGAGACAGGCAGCGGGTAGGCAAAACCTAATGCTTCCTTTCTGGTTGGAGCTGGCTACAGAGAACCAACTCCCCCAAGCGCAGCTCTCCTCTTTATCTCACACCCCAAACAGCTCCTCCAGTTTGGACATAGCCAGACTATGACGGGCATCTCAGAGCAAGACTCCAAACCCCGATGCTCTGAGGTTGGCTTTGGGGTTAAGTCTGGATTCACTGCATTTCTTTGCAGTTAGCGCATCTTTTCCTGTTTGCTGAGTTCTGTCACTCCAGGGCCACAGACGGAGTGGGGCGGGAGGATGTGGGGTGAAGAAAGGCAGGGAGGGGAAGAAGGGAGCCCCGTGCATTCTTCCATCTCCCAGGCCTGACCCAGCACTGCTCGCAGGGCAAGGCAGGGGTTCCTACTCCCACCAGCTGCAGGGCTGCTGTGCATTTCTTATGCAGACAGTAGCTGGTGTGCCATCTCCGGCCCTCCCAACTAAACCTGAAATCCCACCACCCTGGGTCCCAGCTCATACTTTGGGGCCTGAAATTTCAGAGACACCAGTCATACCCAAAGCAAATACCAACAGGCCTAATTATATAAACGGAGAAAATTTGGTACAGATGTTATCAAGACAGGAGAGAAGGCTTGCTGGCCGGAGCCAGGACAGTTCCCCAGGAACACACTTGTTATGATTAACATGGGAACTCAGAGTTCTGACAAGAAGCTGAAAATCACGGCTGCTCCACGCCTGGGCAGAGGAGCAGGTGAAGAAGAGGGTTCTCCTGGCCTGCCCACAGCTGATGCTCTGGATGGTGGGCCTAGTGCAAACAGGCCATGTGTGCAAAGCATTATGATAACTCAACCCAAAGGAACTCTCCACCTTTCCCAGACGCATCTGGGCTTCACTGCTGAGGATTCCGTGCCAAGGAATGAAAATTTTTCATTAAAAGTCAGCCCTGAAGCTGAGCCCCAAATTAGATTGTACATTCCTCCCACAGGCTCTGTCCTCAGTGCCACCCCAGAACCGAGCTCCATGTGTTATAATTATGTACATCTGATTCCCAGGCCAGCGTAAAAGCTCCTCAAAAAGCCATCTCCATGTCCAGTATGGGGCCTGGCACACAGGAGGCCTCAATAAACATTTGATGGATGAAGGAACTTCCCACACCCTCAAGGCCCACCCATCTCTGGCTGGCTGACTGTAACCGGGATGTTCGATTCATATCAGCCAGCGTTTATGTCTGCATTTCCCACCCAGGCTGGGGGAGCTGGGGTCTGCCAAGGCCACCAGGATCACGGACGTCAGCAGATCTGTGTGCTCAGGCGACATAAATTTATTACACAGTGGGGAGCAGGGTAGATCCAACACCAGCAGGAAGTCCATTGTATAGATAAGCTTGGCCGTGCTTAGACCTCCACATTTGCGGAGAGAGACAAATGCCACATGGAAAAATTAGCTCTTTATTTATCAAAGGATGGGAAGAGGGGATGTGAGGCCTCGCCCACTGTCAAGGCACTGGGCTGGACAGGAGCCCTGTGCCCTCCCAGGGGAACCCCCAAAGCAGTACTGACTTCTTGGTAACATGGTGCATCATCCATCCTACAAGTGGCGGTGGAGTGGGGCAGGGAGGGGGGGATGTGGTGCGAAGTGGAAAGTGCTGGGACCGCGCCAAGGGTGCTAAAGGGATCAGTCCCCAGAGGGAGCCGCCAAGAGGACCAGGGGCTAAGCTAGGGGTTAGCAGTCTGGAGGCTTGATTTCCGCTTCTGAGTTCTGCCTCCAGCTTGTTTGGGAGCTCTGCATGCAGACAGTCCAGGGAGGTGGGGCGCAGAAAGCCAGCACTGAGAGGGAGCGGGCAGACCAAGGTCTGCCATTTACAACTCGCTCACCCAGGCTCTGCAGCTCCTTGAAAAGGATGACTGTAGGATCTAAACTATATCACGCCCAGCATGTTCTACTTGCGAGGCACTGTCCTAATCACTCCGTCTATTTCATCCTTCCAACTGCCCTATGAGGTAACTGTCATCACCACCCCCACTTTGTAAATGAGGAAATTGAGGCATTGAAAAGTTAACTTGCTCTGGGTACTATTATTGTCCCCATATTTGAGGTAAGAAGTAGAGGCAAAGGAAGGTCAGAAATTGCCCCAAGGTGGGTCCCCTAACGAGGAAGTGGTCAAGTTTGGACACGAACCCAGGCCACGTGGCTCCAAAGGCTGAGATCCGAGCTGCTTGCCTGACCATGAGGCCAGGCCACAGGGGATGTGTTCAGGAGTAAGTGAGGCCAGCTTGGGCTCCTTCCCTACACAGGGCACACCTTGGCCCTCCAAACGGAGCCGGGTTCAGGCTGGGTGCACGGGGCCTCTGCCCCGAAGCCCTGAGTCCGCATCTTGGCTGAACTTCATGTCCATCCCTGGGGTGGAAATTTACAGGCCGGATGGTGCTAAAGCCCCTGCAGCTCTCGGGAAGCCACTCAGGCAGGTGTGGGCAGTGGGGGGTCAGGCATGCACACTGGCAGCCTCTCTGGTCCTCTGGAGACCTGGCAGCGAGCTGAGAGGCGCGATGTCACGCGTGGTGCCGTCTCCCTGGTAGCGGCGGCCCTCCCGCATGCCGGCCCGCAGGCCAGCTCCCCGGGCAGTGCTCTGGGTCCAGGGAACGTGCCCTCATGTTTCCTGGTGTGGCTTCCTAGCCTCACTGGCTCTTAAGACGGGTTGCTTATCTAAACCCAGACAGGAAGGCCCTGACTGTTACTGGGTTACCATGAGTGCAAACAGCTCGTTCAAATCACAGGGCAGAGAGTTATCAAACCCAAGGTGCCTTCCACCCATTTGCTGGCCTAAGGGGTCTGCGCTCATGGCCCCATGGGAAAGGGGAGCTCACGAGAAATGCAGCCACCTACAATTCTAGCCTTGGATGGAGAAAGCTCTGTGTGGCGGGGGTGGGGATGGCCAGACAGAGCTCTCCACGGCAACTTCAAAGGCCACTCCAGTGAGGAGCAAACCCTCATCTGCTTGACAGGGCCCTGCCCTGCCCTGCCCTGATCTGACTCTCCTGTATCTGGGTCACACCCAGCTATTCCTGAGTAACAATTACCCACTTACTAACCTCAGAAATTTACAGAGAGGAAATGAAGAAAGATATCCTGTTCTCCCTGTCTGCTCTCAAAAAAATAACACAAATTCCTCCGAGAAACATTCCATTCCTCTGTCCCTCCCTTTCAGCCTGAGCCGGTGCTCTGACCCGTTGAGCAATTGTAACTGCTGAGAGTGGGGTCTGGATTTTGGGGGACAGTTTCATTTGCAAACATCTTACCCCTGGGCCGTGTAAGTACACTCACGTTGGACCCTGGACTTGAGAATCAGAAGTGCAATCACCAAGGCTGTGCTTCCTGCCCCTGGGTGCTCTTCATACCTCCCGCATCTCCTTCATTTAAGGCATGAGTTCCCTGAAGTCTGGGCATGTGTGCTGCCAAACCTCCCCTAGAGATCAGCAGTAAGTAAGCCCACGACTCCTTTCATTTCAGATGCCAAAGTACATCATCAACAGTGCCAACTCTGTCCCACCTTTGCAGGTGTCTGTCCATCCCATAATGGGAAGAGTAATAGTAAAGATAGTTTTCATAATAGCAATAATAAAAATCAGAGCTCCCACTTACTGTCGGCTTCTATTGCGCTAAGCAGTTTGTAAGGTAGGCACCTCATTTCTTTCCTACAATAACCCTGAACTGGGCATTCGGCAGATTAGAAAACTGGGGTTTGGGAAGGTAAACTTGACTATGGTCACAGGACTAGGGTTAGAACAAACCTTGGATCCCAGGAGTTGTACTTGAAATCATGATCATGTATTAAAGTTCTTCCAGGTTTCCTCGGGCCTTATTATGAATTAGCATGTTCCCTT